TTTACTGTTAGTGTGCCTTTACAGCAACACCTAATTGCAAGGATACACACACAAACACACGCACACAGTCACATTTACGCACAGTTCCCAATTCTGATAAAATGACACTTTTGGGAACAGACGGACAAGGGTACAGCCTGGTGGAAATATACGGTATTGCTACTAGATTATTTGTTTGCTGCATACATAATATAACCTATGAACCACCTAAATTATTTATATTTGGAGGATTAGATTGAGATCCGAATAATAAAATAAATAGTGAGCAATTTTTGTTAGGATGGAACACAGGAACTGAATTCTTATTTACATAAATATTAAAATAAAAAAATAAAAAATTGTTACAAGCAATGTTAAGATTAAAAAACTTACTGGTACATTAAACAATTAACATCAAATATTTCCACTCTGGGATCCTGAATTAAAACAGATTCTATTAAATTGAGCTTGCACAGATCGACATCCATTGAGTAGCTATGAAACTGCACAGTCAGGCGACTGCAAGTCTTTTGACTGTTTTTGAGAAACAAAAACTGTTTTATCGGTTGTCAACTGATAAAAAACCCAAATATGTTTATTATTACATTTTAATAGTACTTAAATAGCTTAAATTATGCAATGATCCACAATCAAAATCCAATTAGTTTCACTAAGAAAGTTAATCTTAAGCAGCTGACTTTTCAATGATATTTTAAAATATCTATAGCTGATGGAAATGTTTTATGATAAATCCAGAGGTTAGACTGAAAATCACATTGTATAATCTGTCTAATACAGATTTCCAAGATGTACAAAAGACAAAAGGCTGTGATTGTGTTTTGAAACTGTTGATCAAATCCTGAAAGTCTAAATTACAGGCCTTTTGGGAACTGAATTTTGTCTGGGACTCACCAAAAATTACAGTCACAGGTATTGGATCTGTCCTTTGTCTGAATAAATTCAAAAACTTCATTTGAGACTCTATTAGCCTCAGCTCACATTTTTAGTGTTAAAGTAAATGACAGCAAATTTAGAAAAAAAAAAACAAAGAAATTTGCTTTTTTGATAGTGTTACAGGAGAAGCCTGTTTCTCCCCAAAATAGTTTGACAAAAAAAAAAAAGGTGTACAAAGTTGCATCTTGATGAGCTACAAGACTCCAGTCCAAAGTAAAGCTGTTTGTCCATATAGTATGGCAACATGTTTGATTCAACTCCTGCATATCTGCACAAACTGATACCAGCTGTCCAGAATGGTGATGAAAATGTGATGATTGAGTCTGGTTTGCAACCACAGGGCCTTGAGCTTTATGCTTCACTGTGTCAACCATGAACTTTATGCGCCAAACTTCTCCTGAACCGAATGTGAGGCCATCCTGTCTGAGAGCTAAAACTAGGCCACTGTTGAGTCATAAAAATGGACAATGAATCCAAAACAGAAGAATTTACAACAGCTCTGCTGAAAAAGGAAACAAAGTCACAGCGTTGCAATGACCCAAAAAAAAAAAGTCTAAGCCCCAATCTAAAGGACAGTTTTGGTTTTTCAAAAAACAATAAAATTGAAATCCACATTTTCATTAATCTCTGGTGGATCAATCAAGATTCCTTGATGTTACTAGTTAGTCTTTGAACTCTGTTTCACTTTTTGTTCTGTTTTAAAAATGACAGAAAATACATGTTGAAAACTTCTTTACAGTTGACAACAACATGCAAACAGACTATCCAGTCCAATAAATGTTATTATTCTTTAGGATTGCCTAGTAGAAACATATGTAGTCAACTGTATTTTAATGCAGATATTGCTGAATTTGTACAGTTCAGATTACTCCATATTTCTCAAGTTGTATGAGCTTGCCCTTTCACATGGTATAAACAATTCTGCCTTGTTTTGGATGGTAAAATATGTGAAAATCAGGAGTGTGTGAAAATGTACAAATGTGTGTGCACTTTTATCAGCACCTCTGCAGCCTGGCAGCTGCAGACAGGAGGAGGAGAGAAAGCCCTTTTTACAAGTCTGCAACATTCACAGTGACCCACCTGTTCGCCTATGTGTGAGCCTTCGTGTGTGTGTGTCTGACTCTTGTTTGTAAGTTCCTACCTGTCTGCTATCTCCAGATTGTGTTTCGTCTCCACCTGCCGTGTCAGTGGCTCTAATCCCTCCCACCAGGTCTGACAGACATGTCTTCGATAAGAAACGAAACCTGATCCCAACACACACAGCCAGACCCATGCATTGAGGGGAAATTCCTCGTTATACACTGAAAAAAAATTGTCAGGCGCAGAATGCTGTGGGAAGACACTTCATTCCTTCTTTCTGTCTTATTTAATTCATGCTTCAGTTTCTATACTATATTTATGAGTAGCTGTAAGAGCAATTGTGCGAAATGTAAATCAAGACATGAGAAGCATCTAAAATTTTAGCTGAGGTTAAAGAGGACAGTGAGTTTGGCACAAGAAAACCCTTGAAGTGTCACAATGTGTCAATATCCATTTTGCTTCTGTGGCTATGTTTTAGTGGACAATGTTCAAAGTTCTTTATTATACCTTTCTCTATATGTTCTTCAAACATATTTGGGTGAAACTTTTATAATACAACTGAAACTATGAGCACTCTTGCATTACTTGCTGATTCCTCAACCCCCCATCGGATCGTCTGCTGGTTAATTCTGTTGTGAAATAAACACAGTGTTAGTCAGGATAATAAGAAACCTTCAGTAGTTCTGCCAGCTGTGTTGTTGCACAGTGAGTTCAATAAATTGCGCGGGTAACTGAAGATCCCTGCTGTAAGTAATCACCAAATTGCTTTTCACAACAAATCGAGTTGTGAAAAAAAAAAAACGTGCCTTGAAATCGGATTTCAAGGCACGGGTGTTAATTTATGGACAAATAGATGTGACTGCCCTCTAGTGGTCAGGGTTCATCTGTTCATCTGTTCGCCCCAAATTTATGTGAGCGTTTATTTTTGACTAAGATGCAAAACGTTCACAATTTTATTCCTAACGAGGTAAGATGGAACAGAAGCGTGATTCTTGATTCCTTCATTTGTTAGGTTTACATTTTAATTTGTGTTAAGTATTTGATTCGGCCGATTTTGAAATAATCTTCTTAATTAGTCAGGTTTTTGGACAAAAATAAATAACTAAATAAATAAATGCTACAAAACTTTGTAAAACAAACTGTAGAACAGAATATTTCTCATGCAGTCGATGTAGTTGCTCTAGATTACCACCAGGAGGCAAACTTACCACAGGCTTAAAAGCAAAGAAGCTGCGTGACATCCATGGCTGCCTCTTGATATGACGAAAAGAATATCTAAGAATATTTTTTGATTTGCAAGAGTTGCATGTTGGTTGGTTTACAGTGTTGTCAGTCATTGTGGTTTATAATGTCAGTCAAACATTTTGTATCACTTGTCCATCAGATTTCTTAGATTGTCATTTGCTTCAATGGACACGTTCATTTATTTGATTCATTAGTTTATCATCTCAACATAAGAAGATTAATTTAAATCAGACATAGTAATGCATCAATTTACTCATGAAAGAACGTAGAGAAATCTCTGCATCATGTTGCTTAAAAGAAAGAGAGGAAATTACCTTTTAAATTAAGGAACACAAACACAATGGTTTCTGTTTGTCATCACTTGTTGCATCTGCACAAAATGAATTACTCTCTCAATTTGGGCTTTCCATTTAATAATTGTCTTACAGCTGAAGTTAATGTTATCTTTATTAAACTTGAGAATGTATGTGAAACATAGCAGCTAAATTACATGAGATAGAAATTAATTACAGTACTACTTAAGTTTTTTGTAAACCTTTCCATATTGGCTTCCTCTTTCTTTGATCTGATTTGGTGCTTTTCTCAGGACAATGTCGCTGTTCAAATTAATCTGAGTCTATGGCCTCTAAATCATAGTTTTTCCTCCCTACTCATCAGTACCTCTACATAGATGTTTATTGGAGTAACAAAAGCTTGGCACATCATTTTTAATTCAGACATTTATTTGCCTGCTGCGTCCTGTTTCTGTCTATTTGAGTTGTGATCAAAGAGTTGCTTTTGATCACCATCTGATCCCTGATCAAACACCTGCATGATGATCAAATGTGTCTGAAACAGGAAGCAGTTCACAGGTTGGGGACAATGTTGTCTTCCTGTATTATCAGAGATTCATCTTTGCAAAGTTTGGTCTAAATTACACTGATACTGATTGTCAAAGAAAAGTAATGTTTCAATTTTCTGTGTTTTCCTTACTAAGCCTTAAGAAGTACATTGGAAATGTGACTCTTTTAGCCAATGATCCTTGTTGAAATTTAGCTGAACTGAAATTGACATTCAGGCTTGGCCAGCTAATCACATCAACCCTAAAGACTTCACTAGGAATCGCCCTTTGTTTGATGTTTTACTTCCCGCTTTTCAGACACATTTGCATGTTGATTAGATGGAAAGGTCATGTCTTTTCAACAAAACTTTGCTTGAGAAACAATGGAGAAAACTACTATCATCGTCACCACCACTCCCGCTGTGACCTCAGACTGGATTTAGTTTGTACACTGGAAAAGGACTGGGGACTCTTGATTAATCCCATCAATTCTCCAGCAGACATTAGCGTGTCATTTATTCATTCTTTCAATTCATTTCTGCTTGATTAGTTTAATTGATTTAAGGCACTTAGGTGCAGTGCTGAAGGCTTGTTCCTGGTAAATGAATTCAGAATAAGTAAATAAATAATTATATTATAATTTATTTACTGTGTTGCACATATTTACTCTCCTTTTTTTCATGTGCCACTGGTAGTCAGTATGCAGGCTCAGAGGAAAATAGCTCATATTATAAACAGAACTTCTGATCCAAAGAGACCCGACTAAGTGAGGACAATAACACTTTGAACCGCTTTGGCTTGTTAAATCTATCAATGGCAGTCGAGACCTAAAAACAACAATCCTAATCAGTGAGCTGCTGGTTAGTCCTGCTATTGGCCAGCTGGGCTGTCAATCAACGCCCGCCCGGCTGGTTCGTTGAAGTGAAGGATTTACGCATAGTGACTAATCTTGGTTCATTCTTACAGTCGCACCGGATTTGTGTCGCAGCGTTTCCCAGCCCAGACGCAGAGAAAGTACCAGTTAGACTATTATTTCGCTTCTCAGGGGAAATTTGCTCCTATCTCTGCCAGCAGCATCAGGTAAATAAGCGCCTATAGATGGAGTTTTGGTCGCTGTCGTGACTGTTGTTCGCCGCCTCTCACTCTGCGGAAGATTCTGCCGCAGCATCCACAACACGGCAGCTCTCTCCTGCGCAAACATGGGCACCGTGCTCTCCATATCTCCTTCCTCAAAGAAGGCGTCTATTATGGACACAGAGGGAACAGGAGACGGAGTGAAAAACGACAAGAGCCTCAAACGCCACTCAATGTTCGTGTCCCTCTCCTGGAAGAAGCTGGTGGCCAGTTCGGCCAAGAAGAGCGCGAAGAAAGTGACCCCGAACCCGCTGCCGTCCAGCCAAGTGGCCCAACTCAACAGCGAGAACGTCAGGAAGACGCACCAAACCGAGGAGAAGAAGCCAAAGGCGCCCATTCCAGTCCCGGTACCCACGGTACCCACGGTACCCACGCAGAACAGCGACGGCGTGGTCCAAAACGGGAGGCTGTCAACGGTTCAGAAGCAACCCAGCAACTTCTCTCTGCTGTCACCCCGACGGATTGTTATCCAGGCGTCAACCGGGGAGCTGCTTCGCTGTTTGGGGGACTTCTTGTGCCGCAGGTGTTACAAACTGAAAGAGTTAAACAGCGGGGATATTGTCCTCTGGTTCCGAAACATTGACCGGATTCTTTTGATCCAGGGCTGGCAGGACATTGGCTTCATCACGCCGGCCAACGTGGTGTTTGTGTACCTGCTGTGCCAGGAGGCGATAACGGAGAGCGTCAGCAGCGCGGCCGAGCTGCAGGGCACCTTCCAGACCTGCCTGTACCTGGCATACTCCTACATGGGCAACGAGATCTCCTACCCGCTCAAGCCATTCATCATCGACTCAAACAAGGACGTTTTCTGGGAGACGTCGCTCTGGATCATCGACCAGCTGAGCAACAAGATGCTCCAGCTGAACGCGGACCCGCACTTTTTCACCCAGGTTTTCCAGGACCTGAAGAACCAGCGCGATTCCAGCGAGTCCAGCTTGGATCGCTGACCTGGGTTTCATAACGGAAGGCCGAAAGTGTCAGAATTTAATACATATATATGATGAAGCACAAAGCTGCAGCCAATGCAAAAGGAAAATAGAGCCATTTTAGATGAAAAGTTTGTATTTCTGACCAGGGCCGGATTTAAGAAATGCTGGGCCGTTGGGCTAGAGGCCATGTTGGTCCCCTAACTGCACAAAGTTTGTTTAAGGCAGATTTCCAGGGCTGGAAGACTTTACTCCTCAAAATTATCTTTGCAGTCGTATTTTCAGAAAAAAATTCTCAGAGATAAATTCTACAATTGTTTTCACCCATACAGAAAAATGACCAAAAATTTGGAGTAACTATGGAAGGACTGTGTGTGTGACTTCGTAACAAAAATACACACGCACACAAAAGAGGAGAGAGGGGAGCATGCGCTGAACTGCTTTTTAAAGTTGTCTTTAAAAAGTGCATTTCAACACAAATATTAAAGAAATTTAAAAACTCACTGTCATGTGGGTTATAAATATGTTATTTAGAAAGTTATAAAACAGAATTTGCAAAAATAACCATTTATAAAAACAATTATTTAGAACAAACTGAGGTTAACTGAGTTAACCTACCCAACATCAGGATTAAGTAAGCTCTTTCCTAAGCCCAACTTATAGGTTTTTCCAAACTCTTATGTCACGTTTTTAAAATTATCATGGTAATTTCAGTTTTTATGGTTTTCTGTTTTACAAATATGGATGAAATTCTAAAATGTCTATTTATTTGGATTTTGAATATTAGAGCCAGGCTACAATTTATTTCTTTTTTTTGCAAAAAAAATATATATATTGTTAGAAAAATAAACTTTTCCTGCTTTTGTTCCTTTTGGCAGCTCTGTGCTTCTGCACATGTATGATTGCTTAAATAACACTGTAAAAACAGACATTAAATAAATATGATAATATTCACTTAAATATTCAAGTCATTTTTAGAATATATAATCAAATAACTAAATCCAGAAAAATATTTACAATTTTTTAAAAGATAAAAAAAAACCTCACATGACTATTTAGGTCTTTATTTATTCATTTAATTATGTTACAGCACATCCTGTTTAAATGATTTTACAATGAACTGTAGTACAGGAAATACTAATTCAAGTTTCCATTAATGGTTAATGCATGTAATGACTTACATATTTTATTACTGGTGCATTTTTAAAACAAATTCTAATATTTTGTTTATTTGATGTATTTTTGCAGTTTTATTTAACCAATCGCATGTATGAATATTTATTTGTTTGATTTTGGCACTTTTGACACTTGAAGGGGGAATGAGCAGCACACTGGCTTATCTATAAAGATGAATGTAAAAAAATGAAGACTGCAAAATTTAGGTGCAGTGCTGAAGGCTTCTCATGTCTGGACTCATGATGTCATACAACTTCAATATGGTCTTTAGGTTCTACTGTAAGAAGTTTTAAACATGCATGCCGATTGTATGTTGTCCTCTTATTTTGTCTCGTCCTAGAAATTGACTTTGTTGTACAACACCTTCCATTCTAAAAGACGCTCACATCCCCCTTTTGTACAAGATTAGCCCAGTAAGTGAATGGATGTCGTGAGGTTTGCGTCCAAACCTGAGCCAGAATAGATCTGAGTCAAGTCAGGGCGCTGAGCTGTCCAAGGTGCTGACCTGTTCAGCCATTTCTGTTTGTCTCCCTTTCTCCCAACTGAGCCGAGCTTGGCTTATGAGTGCCACAATCAGCCCAGTACACTTTCGGCACATAAGCCTAAGCCTTGCAAGTAAGTAAGTAATGGTAGACTATTGTGCTTTTTTAGCATCTCAGTCAGCTGATAGATAAGCTGTTGAACATGGAACAGATACAAAATGTATCTGAAAGGGCAAATCACATTGAACAGTGATTGTAAATATTACTTTTTGAGCATTGGCAGTTCCAACTCGGCATGGGCTAGTGTGTAGTTCATATGGCATGATAACCCTAAGAAAAATTACCACTGTTAAATGTTTACAAAAACAATTCAAACAAATTCTATGTAATAATCAGGGGTTTTTTTATTATCATTTATTATTAAAACAGGAAAAAACAGCTGTTTTTCTCACTACTACTAATGTATTACTATGCATAGTTTACAAGTAGTTATAAGATTTTCTGTTAAGTCGATTTTGACAAAAAGATCAGGATTAATGGAAGCGCACAAAATAATATATCAATTTGCTGGTCACTTTGTCACTTTTTCTGATATCTCATTAAAAGCACGGTTTTGAAACTGCAACTTTTCAAGCCAATATGTATCACTAACCAGCCCATGCCTGATGTTATCTAATGCCATCCATGTACAATCTTTGTCCTAATGTTAAAAACCCAATCTGCTGGAAAAAGACATTTTTTGTATGCTATTTTAATATCTGTTGGTATAAGGTTGTTCTCAGATTCTGTTGTGAGATAGAAATCACCAGATACATTGCAACAAGATGTCATTTTGCATTTCCAACTGCACTCTCTTATATTGTAACTGATCTACAAAAAAGTTGTTGACTTAAGATGAACAGCAGATGTACTGCTCTTGTTTTAACTGAAGACTGAATGGAATGTAGTTTTTCAAAAAATATATTATTATTTTTTTAATCCTCTTTGTGCCAAGTGGAAAATGGCCTGAATCTTTATGGTTTACATGTAAATATCCCATCTTTCCAACATGTTTTGTTTTGTTGCTAGTTTTGGTTGAGGTTGAGGGCAGTTTGAGCATCACAGAAACAAACACGGGCTTATAGACAAATGTTAGCTACAATCTGTTCTGAAAATATGCGCTGAGCCTCAGTTTGCTGGCTTAAGATTAGTTTATTCAGGATTCCTTAAAGTACAATTCTTTAATGTGAGAGAAATGTAGTAAATATAAGAATAACTCATTTGCACATGTGTTATTGCAGTATTTATAAGCTAACATAATCCAACTTGGAGTCCAAAACCAAACATAAACCTATCTATGGTTAATCTGACAGACTATTGTTCTACGTTGTGAATCATTTGCTTGAAGAGTAAATAACAATGCTGCTACTTTGCACAGCTGTGGACAAATGTCATGTCTTTGCACAGCGATGACGACGTACAGGTGTTTCCTCCAAGTCACTGGAATGCTTTGCCATTACGTTTGCATTCAGTGGCACCAGCTCTCGCTTTTAGAATGATCTGTTAAGAAATAAATCTTTTGTACGGTTCATCTTTTTTCCTAAGTCTCACGTGGAAATTGATATTTAGGTGTGTGCTGTCTGTGGTGTTACTCCATGTATGCATTCACTCTTTGTGTGTGTTGATAAAAGGTCATGACAGTACTTGTTTGAGGTGTCCATAGAGAAATAAATCCAAATTTATGTAGGATCTCATGTCTCTCTTGAGTTATTTTATTCTTTTGAATTAATTAAAACGGTATCTAATCCTGATTTGTGCATACTTTTAGTCTGTCTACATTAGCACTTCTAGGGAGTATGTTAAAGAAAGTCAATATTAAAGTCAAGCTTGCACACTTTATGCTTCTTTTCCAAGTGAAATGAAAATGTGATGAGTCCGCTTTGAAAAATTAGCAGTCCAAACATGTAATTAAAAGCTCCAAGATTAATACGTCATTCATATCCATAGATGAGTGCGCAAACATCTTACCAGAACAGTGCCTTGCCATTCGTCAGCAGTAATTAACATGGACACCTTCTTATCTAGTCCCAACACTCACTAATCCTTCATTCAGAATGAACCCAGGAGACACAGTTATGCAATAGAAATAAGTCCATGACGAATATTACTTCCCAGGATGTACTACGTGTGTGTTGGCACAGGTTGCTATGAGACTGAAACTCATGAGACTTCAAGGTTGCCATGAAACTATAACTTATAAAGCAGTTATTATTGCGTGGAAGGTTTTTCTTAATCATTATGCTCAGACAAGATTGAGCATCCAAACAGATAACATCACAAATCTAGGCTAAATGAAGGTTCACATCCTTAAATTCCTACAGTTTGAATACTTTTTTTTTCATATTAAGGACATCTTAGTATTCTGACATATATACAAGTTATTTTTGGTGTCCTGTCTTTGTCCTCACTGTTCCATAATGAAATGGGGACAGAGAGAATCCAGCAGCAAGTAGGTGAGTTATGAACCCTTGAAAAACAGTCTTTATGCTTTGACCTTCTTATCTGGCCTCACATTTGACCTGTTTTGGTCTATGTGCTGCATCAATAGAGAATAAAAAGATCCAATATCTTTTAGTTTCTCTAAAACTTGATCTAATTAACATTAAGCAGTCTTCTTTTGTTCAAATCAGGTATACATTTGCAAGTCAACAGAGTAGGGCTGCATTGATAAGATTTCCGTCTTGTTTTTCTATTTTTATGAATAAGCCGTGTGCTGGAGGGTTCCCTTCCTGTGATTGGTCAGATTCTGCTGCAGTCTCAGAAGTGTCCATATTTCTCTCTCTCTCACTCCCCCTCTCTCTTTCTCTCTCTCTCACTCGTCTTGCAGGGACAATCAGTGTCTATTTACAGAGCAAAAACTGGGAAATGCAGACAGAAAGTGGAGGAGAAAGACAATATGACCCAGAATGAGCAAGAGAAGAAGGGTAGTTAGAGGTAGAATGGTAACATCCAAAAGAGGTCAAATAAGACAAGAAGATGAGCATATAAGAAAGCAGCATTTAATGAATGCTGTAGGTGAAGTCATTTTGCATAGCAAAAGAGAGCTTAACAAATCCAGACCTTGTCTCTAGAGATAACATTTAATATCAGTAACATGTTTAAAAACTAAAGTGGTGTGAAATCCACATAGATTACACTAAAGATGCAGAGGTCTTAGGTCTGTTGGGATCCAAAGTTTAGGGAAATGGGATGACTTCATGCATCAGCATTATGTAACCGACATAGGGAGTTGAAAAGCAGAGCCGTGTTGTGAGTCTTCCCTTTGCTATTAAGATTCAGCCCAGGTCTGCCGCATATCTGTCTGCCAGCCTTCTCTCTGCATTTCTGTCCACCGAGTCTCTATAGTAACGGGTAAGGTAAGTGAACAAGAACTGGGCAAAATTAGCTGTGCATGGCCAAGCGTGGGCTGAACCTCTGCACTGCTCACACACACACACACACACAAGCACTGCTGTGATCAATAGTAAATATGCACTGTCACTGCAGGTAAGACTAACTCGTCCACATCCAGTCTCTCTGCAGTTCCTCTGCTGCCTCACATTTACCTCCAAAGATTGTCATCTATGAACCCACTAAATAATGCACTTTTTTCAAATTGAAGATACTTGTGTGCAGCCCCAACATTTGTTGATTGAACATTTTATCACTGATGTACTTACTGATTTTGTGAAGGTTAAAGCAAAAATATGTACTTTTTTTCTTTTTTCACAGTATTTTTTTAAAAATACAATGACGAAATGAAGATTGAGCTGTTCTGCTGCGAACACGCAACACAAAACAAATAACGGATAAGAAAAGCACTTCTCAGCTGCTGATATGTAAAACGGAGGATCTGGGATGCCAGTGACCTGCTTCTCCTCAAAATGCCTTTGAAAGTGATTTTTGAAATGCATTACTGTTCATTTAGGTAAGTATGATGATCAGTTTCAGCATTCACATCTTATGGTCAAATCAACTCAAGAATGTTTCATCAAACACAAAATGACTAGGCCTTCCTGTTCCCTCAAACTAAACCCTAAAACGAGAAAGTGAGCCAAGCTTGTCAATGGATTGTCCTTTCACTCTTCATTACTGTAAGGTGAACTACGTTAATATAAAAACAGAGTCATCCTGAAGCCCTATTTTAGATAATTAGTTGGAAGTCCAAATGTTGAATATCACAGTAGAAAACATTCTTTCCATTTGAATGGGTGCTCATTCTACCACTAAGCTCGAAAAGATGAAGATATTGCTTGTAATTTATTTGTTGTTGTTACAACTGAAAAATGATCAGATTAATCTGATGATTGACTCTGTCAGAATGAAACAAACAAATGCAACTCAACCCAAAACCCAATACACAAAACATTGACTGTTCAACAGATTCCCATTTGTTGCAGGAATTTGGAACTGTTTGCTTTTTTACCTGAAGGTAAATTGAGGATATGAAATACCTCTTTTACAAAGAATATGAGCAAATATGAAAACTTGTCACTTTACCTGAAAATATTATGTGCTTGTTAAGCAATAAGCCAGAAATTGGTGAAGGATTTAAACATATTTCAAAAGAAAATCAGCCATGGCTAACTTTGACAGGTGAGAAAAACAATATTTTAATGTTACCCAACTTAATTATGTTAATAAATATATTTATGCATATGTAGGTATGATTTGTTTACTGTCTGTTCTTTTGTGCATAGTACTGAAATGTTCCTTTCTTTTCAGTCACCTTCCTTTGATTTCTTAGAAAAGCAACCAAATCAGCGTGAACTCTTTTAACTCTGAGGGATTATGTCTGCTCTGCTGTCCTCCTGCTACATAACCACTCTGCTAATCTCTTTAACTAGATTATTTTGGTGTTGAGGTACATTGAGAGCCACTCACCTTCTGTTGTACATCAGGAAGGTCGGGGAAAGAAAACAGGTCATTTGTTTGTTTGTTTTTTACTTTGTAGTTCCTTTTATTCACACATAATTTGAATCACAGATTAAATAATTTTTTTGAACATTTTTCACTGCCTGAGGTCTTATATAATACTACTTTGTCATGTCACCCACGCCTGCACTACCAGTGAGTTATTCCACATAGAATGAGTCAGCGAGATGATTTGTCAATCAATGTTATGTAATATCTAGAATCTAAATCTATGTTTTGATATTTCAGTCAAATTCTTTAGAACTTAAACTTCTGTTTGGAAGTTTTCACTCATCCTTAATGGAATGACTTAACCACTATTTTGTTGGATGGTCTCATAAGACAGAATTCAACTTCAACAGTTTTGAAAACAAGTGCTTCAATGTACTATAGATTTTTTTAAAAATTAAAATAGGGTAAAATATATATATATGTACATTCAGCTTCAAATATATGCATGAGTTTTCCTTAAATTTCTGCAACTTTAACCATTTGTCTGTTGAACTGAGAGGGAGGCGACTAATTTGTCCAGTGCCACTGGCAGCACATTAGCCTCACAGAATGCCACCATCATGGTTGACTTTTAAGTACAGTGGTTCTTTGTACCATTGTAGAAAAAGGCTCAATGGCAGAAACGCTAGAGTCTGTTTAAACTGGCTGGTTTCCTGGCACAGAGCCCACAAGTCTGGTTCATTCTAAAAGCTTAACAGCACCCTCTTCTAATCATTCCAAGGTGAGATGTGATATGTTTGAGATAATTTTCTTGCTGAACTATCTCATAACATCAACAACTGTCACAATGAGATTACAAGAAATTGATTAGATTGTTTAAGAACAACACGAGAAGCAAGAAACTTCAACTTTAAATGTTTTCTCCAAATGGTCTTTGACTTGTCTATCACCATTTTCAGTCAAGTTGGAGGTTTTGATTTTGGAGTATGAAATTCTCCCTGATTCCACTCTCAGTGTAAAATTTACTCAACCTTTTTCTTTGAAAAAAAAATAAGTTCTATGAGATGTCATTGTTTCAACCTGGAGAAAAGTATCTTATTTTATTTTCAGATGTACTTTCTGCACTGCTATTTTCTGGGAAATAGTTCTATCATATAATTGCCTCAGAGCCACTGAACATGACTACAGTAATGCTTGTGTTTTTATTGTGTTTGTTTTTTAGCATTACGAGTTCATTAGCATACATCCTTGTTGTATTAATGCAAACAGAAGTCTGTTAAACAGATTGAGTGGTTTGTACTTCCCAAATTCAGAAAAAGAGGATCCTTGTTTTAGATCATGCCACTGTCTCTTATCTCCCTCTTTTACCTCTGTGTCTCTTAATTTCTTGCTTTTTCCCACCTTCTAACTCATGTCTATTTCTGTACCATGTAGGTGTGTTGCTCTAAATTTGCTGTCTTCATAGCTTCTTTCTGTAGCTGGGAGAATGACTCACTGACTGTGATATTTCATACAGTTCAGCTTAATGCCCACAGGCTGCTTTCATTTCAGTCCACCTCAGAGAACATGGAAACCTTATTGCTTATTGTGTATTTAGACATTTATCTCAACATAATAAACATGTAATAAACATTATTGTCTGAATAAATCTACATTTTGATTGAGACATCTCTCATCTTTTCATATTTTTTTCTGTTATTAAACCAGACTTACCTGTGATTTTTTAAAGTGATCTTGATCAACAGTTTTATCGGTGTGGTCCGATTATTTTTTCACATATTTTCAGTTTATAGCATTGTCATTTTCAACACAAAGATTTTTGTTTGTTTTTGAAGATACTTATCTCTAACCAATCAATCATTCAGACACAAAGGATAAACAAATAAGGAGTTTTGGCAATGCAAAATGGTCAACACTGCAAATAAACTTTTTCAAGGAGTGCAAATTGATTCCAATTCTTTAGCTGGAATCAAGTAAGATCAAACATAACAAGTTGATAAATAGAATAGAATAGAATAGAATAGAATAGAATAGAATAGAAGAGACCCATCAAAAATCATAGTCTGACATTTGTCATTTTGTACAAATATTGAAATTATTTCTCAGATATTTGTGCAAATAGTTTCTTGAGAGTAAAATATATTTCAGGAAGGATTATTGCACAACACCAATAGACTGCTATATGTAGGGTGTTTTGTTAGCTGTAGCAGCTGGGGAGAAGTCATCTGACTGTGTGTTTATCTGTGAGAGCAGTCTGAAGTGAGGTTAGGAAGGCAAAAGATCTTGGGGAAAAAGGTGTTTCGGCAAATTATAATCTGTATTTTTATGTTGCTTTTCAAGCCATTACTTCATTCTTTCTGAGTGGCCTTTCAGTCAGTCTCATTTCACTATGGATGACACATACCAGTTTAGAGGTCAGAGGTCTTTTTCTACAGAATAAAGAACCTTTCTCTTTCATTACCAGGTAATACTCGTACATATCTAGTTGACCAGATGAACACATCTGGAAATTGCAGTCAAGAGAAATCAGGCTAAAGGTGACCTAATATTCTTTCCCTGATACTTTGAATTTTTTTAAGATGTCACAAAAGGAAGCAGTGTGTTTGAGGTGTGATCTTGAATTGAATCCACAGATGTGCCTGATGCCCTTCTCAAGTTCCTTGACATTTTGCTAACATTGTTAATGTAAACTAACAAATTTGAAGAAAGCAATTGAACTCTCTAATCTTTTGCTGTGATAGCATGGTTGCCTGGCAGCAGGAAGGCCTTTTGCTTTGCTTTTGAATTTGCATGTTTCCCCCATGCATGCATGGCTTTATGCTGGCTTCTTTATAGAATCAAAACCCATGACTATTAAGTTATGGGGTCTCCTTAAATTGCTCTTATGCATGACTGTGAATGGTCTGCTCTATAATGGACTGGGAATTTGTCCAGGTTGTACCCTGGTTCCCCCTTAATGACCAATGGACACCAGCTGCTGTGAGGAGAAGCGGTTGTAGAAAACGGATGGATGGATGACAGCATAATGACTTAAAACAGGAAATGTTTAGATGTTTGTGTATGTATTGTAAATATCTGATTTCAACTGTGTGTAAGACTCCAAACTTCTTCAATTAGTTCTCTTCTTTCAATGGGGCAATTAAGCTGTGCAAAACATGTTTCTGTGGATAAATGACAACAGATGTGAGTTAAAAATGAGCCAAAGTGTCAACATTTTTCCATCCATCAATTCAAAGGGTTGATATTTAAACCTGAGTCTAAGCAGCTAATTTTGTTACCCCTTTTAGTCTCGCTTCTCTATCTCCTGCATTCACACTGTTAATCCTGCGGCTCGCAGGAAAACACCCACCTACTTCGTTATGCAAGAAGCAAGAGGATGAGGATCAGCAACAGTAAAGGGTGCTGCTTATAGAGGCAAACAAACACTTTATGGAGAGAAAGGTGGCAATTGTTGTACTGTGGAAGTGCGTATCTCCCTGATAACAGCATTATTTGGGCTCTCCTGCTGTCACCGCTGCTGTGTCAGAGACGCAACCAGAAGGTGTTTGTCTGCAGCAATGTTTAGTGCGTAAAACAACCCTGGCAAGAGACAGATTTAGTTGCTGAGAGTGACCTCATGTCTTTCCCATTGATATGCAGGACACATACACAAACACTGGTGCTGTGAGTGAGGGGTGGATTCTCTGTCCCTCTCACACACTTTCTGATTTTTAACCTAGCTGCACCAATGCTACGGTTTTATGTCGACACTAACATGTCTAAATTCCTTATTTTTCATCAAATTGCAACTTTTAGCATAATGCTGGTCTAATTTGATCTTCAAACAAAACACAGTCCTTTCAAGATTCGGTCCAGACCCACATCTTCGGGATGAACTGTCATATAACGAAGTGAAGGGTTAATCTGCTATTTGCAACAGCTTCTGCACTCTACATTAATCCAATCCTTTGATCACTTAGTTATGTAAGGTGTATTTGTGGCAGCAGAAGAGCGATGGTGCCCCCGCATGGCCGACTAGAGCCATTGTTGCACTTTGAAACTTCTGGAAAATGTAACTTTTGGAAGCAGCAGCTCCAACAATTTCTTGCGCTAGTAAGCCTGAACAAAACAATGTTCATTTGGTTTAAAACCTAAATTTAAATTTAAAGGCACTATTATGTTAAAGACTCCTTAAAGGCACAACTAATGGTGGCATTCGCTACAAAATGAATAAATAAATAATATTCATGACATCTTTCTATAAGAGACATGTTGTAATCAATCAATCAAAGTGCTTTTAATTATAAAAACATAAAAATATAATAAACATTACAGACACCCATTGTGAAACCAGAAACAATCATTACATTTTATCAAGTCAAGTGTAATTATAAAAGTCATCAATACACATCAAATGCGTTGGTCAGTGTTCTATTTATTATGGTTCAAAAGCAACTCTGAAACAGGTGGATTTTTAAAGGAACTCAGTGTTTCAGCTGTTTACCAGTTTTCTGTGAATTTGTTCCAGATTTAGAACAAAGTCACATCTTTGTCCTGTCTACCCATGCTGAATTGTATTTACTCTGAACTCATGCATCAGCTGTTTCCTTTCTGCTACAAAATTAAAATTTCTTTCTTAAAAATTTATCTCTGTTAAAGACTTGGTTTAAACTTTCCTTTTTGATAAAACCTACAGTTAGAGCATGTGTTACCCTGAGCTTCTCTGAAGTTGCCCTGCTATGGGCTCATAGAAGACAAACTGACCTCCTTTCCTCTTCTATGGTCCAGTTTGCAGTTGTTTCAACTGTTAACTTTATGTTTCCACTGAGTAGTTTCTCTACAGGTAACTGCATCTGGTTTATCTGTTAGAAGATAACAGATAAACCAGATAAACCTTTGGGGAGCAAAGGCTGAGAACAATTAATTCTTATTTATTTAATTATTTTAACCATTGACTGGTTTTTGCAATAGCAAAGACTCTACATTTCTCAAGAACACAAATCTAGGCGCAGTCAGAAGTATCTTCTCTATCATTAGACCAGCTCACTCTTACTATGTCTTAACAATGAAGGCTATAAAAGTCCAACTTTTACTGTCGTTCATTAATCTGATTCTTGGCAAGGATACAAAAAATGCTTCAGCTTTAACTGTTTAACTTTTCTAATCTAAATATCCCTTTTATTTTCTTTTGGCACTTTACAAAGTCACAAGATAGAAGACCATCGGGAAGTAGCTATAATGTTTATAAGTACATTTATTTATTTACATTTCTTTCTTTTTTTTTGTTTTGTTTTTTTAATAAATTTTTTTTAATCAATTCAAATTCCACTAAATGGAATTGTGCCTGTTGTCACAAGATATTTAATATGAATTCAGTTAAAACAAGAAAAGCGTCAGACTGGTTAAATAATGTCATTGTTCCATCACACATAATACTTGACAGTACTGCTAGAATTTTTTCTGTTTGTTGGTTTGTTTTTTGCAGGTGAAAAGAAAATTTTACATTTCTATAAATATTTTTTAGTTTAGAGCGATTTTTAAGCAAGCAGTCATTTATCAATAGGGCATTTTTTTTCTTACTAGTTTGAACCTCAAATTCAACTCCTAAAATCCCGATTCTTCACCACAAGGTGGCGCCAGAGGTCTAGTATAGTAGTGTTAAAAAATTGAATTCTCAGAGGGAGGGAAAGCATCTGGAAGCTCAGTTAAGAAAACACCAAATCATTTCCCACCTATTCTGTCTAAGATAGTTTAAATTCTCAATTGCTATCCCGATTCACAAACTGATGTACCTATATATGATTTTCCCTCTATCATTAGTTATTTCTGTGAATCTTAAATGTAAATATTTGCAACTGTCATTCAGAGCTTAGGCATTTTTTTATTATTATTATTGTAAATTTCAATTCTATATGTTTTTTGGTTCTGTTACCCTTCAACTCTGGATAAATATGAATGTGACCAAGGTAAAACAACGTTAGTCACATTCCTAATTTTATTTATTGAAATCATAAAAGCACCATTTGCCCACTGTAGAGTGAGTTGAAAAAAATACTGTATGTCTCCCCGTGGCGTCCGAATTGGCTCATGGACAATAAACCTCCATTTTGGATCTGAAAGAGTCGTTGGCGTCCTGACCGATCACAATGACTGAAGGATCGATGAGACAGAGACAATGTAAAGGAAGAAAGGAGAAAACATCTCTGTTAGTATTTTATTGGAACATCTAATCGCTATATTCTCTATCAAGAAACACCTTGTCACAAATAAAAGTTTGTTGATTTCCGAAATTCAGAATTTGTTGAGTGGATATCAGAAATTTTCTCTCTATGTATATATTTTTTTTATAATGACATTTTGCGCAGAAAAGTAATGCGTGTAAAATGATAGACGGTTTTTCTAATGTCTATATTTATTCATTTATTAAATATTCATTACATCTGAGTGAAAAACGATTTAAAACATAGCCAAACCACTTTTTGTTTTTGTTTGTTTTTTTAACACACATCTTGGTTGTTTCTACGCAGGAGTCTGAACAAAGGGTCAGATTGATTCAAGTTATATAAAATTATTTACTTCATATCTACAAGGGCCATCTATAATCGAATCGAAGAATCAAATAAAATAGAACCTAATGTTGATTTTTGATTCTAATTAACAATTTATCGACATACCGGGATAAACTGCAGTCCAAAGGGATGGATGGTTGTGGAATAAGGCAGGTTTGCTGAGTGAAATAAAATAAATGTCGTTTTTCAGAAATCTTGTCCAAATCGTGGTGAAATTACTCAACATTTGGGGCGCAAACAAAAACCAGTTCGTGTTTATTCATTTATTCCAAGCCTGGCATGGAATGCGCAACAGGAGTCAGTTGTAGTGATTGTTGATGTTGGTCAGACTGTTGATGTTGTTGACGCAGCTGATGTGAGACGGAGACACGGTGCCGAAGGGCCCGGTGGGCTGCAGGCTGTGGCTGTGATAGAGGGCCGCCGGCGGGGAGCCGGGCCAGTAGGAGAAACCCGAGGGACCCACGCCGGGCGCGACGAGATTCAGTTTGGATATGCCGGAGAAAGGGATCGGGGAGAAGTTCCCCTGGAACTTGTAGATGGCCTGCTCCGTGGTGGACGGCTGGCACACCTGCGCCAGGCCATGGAAGTCGAACTTGTAGGCGTATCTCTTGCCGTGGACTTTAGTCATGATGTTCTTGTCGTAGTAGTAGCGCAGCGCCCGGCTCAGCTTGTCGTAGTTCATGTTGGGCTTGCTCTTCCGCTCCCCCCAGCGCCGGGCCACCTCGTCCGGGTCGATGAGCTTGAACTCCCCGTTGGTGCCCTCCCAGGCGATGCACGACACGTTGCTGCTGTCCGAGAGGAGCTCCAGAAGAAACTGCCATAGCTGGATCTGCCCGCTGCCTGGGGGCAGGTGCAGAATAAAAAACACACATTGTTATGTTCTCCAAGAAATATTCACGACAGAAGACTTTAATCCCAGCAGTGATCAGAGACAGAAACTAGATTTCAGTTCTTTTGAAGCAGAGATGTTACAATCATTCTAGTTCTCCCCAGATTCCACTTCTATTACATAAAAAAATGTATATATTATATTTAGTTTTAGAGATGAACGGTGTGTCATCAAAACAGAGAAAATCTGATGTCAATGACATTAATGTCAGATATTTGAACTTAAAGTTTTTTTTATTTTCTTTCTTTGATTCTCTCTTTTCCTCTCTCTATTTTGTACGTTCTGTCCTTCTTAATTTTTTAATATTTTCTGGAATAATAATGTATTAAATAAAGTATATTTTCAAATTGTATGTAGTATTTCTTGACAAATAAAGACTCAGAAGTAATTGATTATTTTCCAACAATATTTATCAAATATGTATTTAAAATAAATAATTTATTAATCGTTATAATAGCAAAATCGATTACTATCTGTCTTTATTCTTTAAAGAATCCAAATTTTATTACTCAGCTAATATTTGATATAAATTTTCACTAAAATTCATATCAAATATAACAAAGTAACAAATTGATATTTTTTAGGATTATTTTGGGTTCATTCTTACCTTTTTGCACTCCGGTATTTATTGGACTCCAAGATGTTCCTTTGCTTTCTTTCAACAGATTTTCTGTTGGATCTGAAGTCAAAACAAAAAAATGAACATCAAATATATATTTATTTTCAATATTGCAAAATAGTTTAGGAATTCCACTAAGCTATGTATTTATAGATAGCAATCTGGTCTGGATATTAAAAAGAATAAGAAGGGTCTGTGTATAAAATAGCGAATGAAATGAATATAGGCTACAACTGACAAAAAATGCAATAAACACAACAATATTTGAAAAAGCATAAAATGTATTTAAATCCGCACAACACATCAAATTTCCCCCCAATTTTTAAAATGTTTTCGTAATATTTAAAGTGGACTATTTTTGCACCAATTTACACAAAAAATAGACTCATAAATGCGCAAACGGAATGAAATCCTATTGCTTTCTGGTGCAGTCAGAGTCCAGTGCGTGAAGCATGTCATCCTTGCGGTCCCCCCTGCAAGAAGCCAGGAAACGCGTCCAGGAAAAAGGATTTCCGATTTCCGACAAAAGAGCAGAGCGGCTTTCAGAGGGAAGCGGCTCAGCGCAGCTCTGGCCTGGAAACCGAACATCTTCTTCTGCTGGACTCCACAGCGCTGCAAACATCCCACCAATTCTATCACAAAAGCCTGTTTGACTAATTCCTAACGGGACAAACCTGAGAGATACATGTTGAACATGAGGTTTCCTCCGCGGTCCTGTCTCATTGTGTTCAGATGCTCAGAAAGGCTTGGGTTTCATTTCGGCGGTGGCGCAGCAAAAGATTTTTATTAAACTTTATCTCATAACTGGGATCTGGAATAAATGCGGGTGGACAGATTGAAGTTTCCAGGCAACTGTCACTGGCCCCCATCTCTGAGACAATATTCAGACAGCAATTTCCCCTGGTGCATTGCTTTAATTAAAAGAGCAATTTACCTCTGTCAGCCCGCCCGGTGCCCACAATAAAAAGAGGCCGATAGAAATTCGGCCCTTATCAATCCACCATCACAGTTTAATAAAGTTTCCGCGTTAAGATCTGAGTTTCTATGGTGAATTGAAGTGTTTGACATGGAAACCAGTTCAGATCCCCCTCACTTTTCCGCCTCTTTACCTCTTGGTAAACAACAAAGACCTGCCTCATGTTGGAGGAAGAATATTTACCTTGAAAAACGCGCTTCAGTGCGCAGAGGAAAACAAGAACATTTCATCCCTCCTAACATCCTCTGTGTGGGTTTAACGTTATATGGCCTCAATCTGGGTCTAATGAGGTCATAACTTTAAAACCATGGGGCCCTGATGCTCATTGGTGCAAGCTCATGTCTTTCTGCTTCTTCTAGGACAATGGTGTCTGAAGTCGATCCTCCAGGGCCAGCATCCTGCATGTTGTAGTTCTCTTTCTGGTTTGCACCTGGATCCATTGATGGCTCACTAGAAGGCCTAAGAAGAGCATTGCAACAACACTTAAGCAGAAGACAATAATCTAAAGCATACCAGAAAATCCATCTTTTAATGGCTAAAAAAAGAAGGTTTTGGACTGGTCTAGTCAAAGTCTGGAGTTAAATCTAACCCAGATATTATGGCTTGACTATCTGCAATGATCTAGAAAATGTAACTTCCTAAATTAAAATTTGAACAAAAAATGTTGAATTAGTAATTTACTATAAAAAGTTAAATTCAAACATTATGTAGAATGATGGCACATGGCTGATGTAGATATATTCAGCATTTGTTTCAGTCAATTCTGACCACATTATCAACTAGAAAGCTGAATCTTGGTTTCATTAGAGTGGAGAATCTCCATCCACATGCTTGCTGTGTATCATACACAGCTTGTGACAAACGGTCACTCTTCTATAAAGGCTTGATTTTTGGAGTCCATGACTAAAAGTTGTCACTTTTGCAGATGATCACAACTGAGCTGTGGATCTCTGCATCTCCTCCAGAGTTACCATACACCGTTTGGATGCTTCTCTGATCTACTTCACTGGCACTGACCTGTACTGACAGCTTTGCAGTTTTTGGTGATAGATGGAACAGAGCTTTTTGTGATATTCAAAGTTTGCAATATTTTTTCTACATCTTAGTATCTTTAAACTTCTTCACAGTTTTCTTATTGAACTGTCTGCTATGTTCTCTTGATATTCTTCATCAAACCTCTGAAATGTTCACAGAAAAGCTGGACCTGACTTTAAATGATGTCTGATATAGTTACTTTCACTTGACGCAAATTAGGGGTATAAGAATTAAGAAGGTGAGTTATTAATGGCATATTTTTAAGAGTCTTATACATTATTTATATCTACTGCACAATTTTATTTTGCTCATGATATAAAATCTTTTAAAAATACACAGATTTTGTGCTTTTGATGTGACAAAAAATAACAGGGTGTCAATACTTTGTGTCTAAAGTTCAACAGATTTTATGTAAGTTGTACATTTCTTATCAATAATTCCACTACAGCTGAATAATAAAACCCAATTAGTGCAAATAATAGTGATTATATTTCTTCCATATATTTCACATGTAACACAGAGGCGGTTCAACTTTAATTTATTGACAAAATAAATCAGTATCACTTTAACTGCAACACATATAAAACACTTGTAATACACAGAAACAGGCAACACATTTGAAATATTTTATTCAAATTTTATTAATATTTTTAAGTCATTGGTTAAAGCTTTTCCAATAAACTATGTAAGATTATGCAACAAAAACAAAAAAGAAAAAAGAAAATGAAGCCCACGACTAAAGAATTGCAAATATGGGGACAAAATTAAAACCATTCAAACGTGGGCGTGATGTGACTGTGTACACTGTTCCAGCTTTGACCCCGGCTTGTGTCGGATGTCGTCCTGTTCTTTTTGTTTTCTCTTCCAATCAATCTTTGATTATCTGATCTAGCCTCACTGAAAATAAAAGCAAACCCCACAACATGCATATTTCATGATGATCCTGAAAGAGAAAACATGGCACATGCTGCTGGTTTATGTGTAGTTTGGCAATTTTTCTGTCTCTAAAACACAAACCAGAAGACAAGTTAAGTGATTTAAAATACTATTATTTCTACCATCTTAAATGTCTAGGCAATTAAATCCTATTTTAAACTTACAAACATGTTTTTTCTTCAGTTAGAAAACATACAGTGAATCTAAGGTGAACTCAAAGTACAAAACTATTAGCATTTTATATCATAAGCTTATATATTGTGTGAATAGTTAGCTGATAATCAATGCCTCCATGAGTCACCTGATATGAGTCCTGTCATGCACACAGAAAGGAAATCATATTAAAAAACGGAAACTACTATAAAGTAATATAAAATAACAATCATTTTTATAGCAAACTGCTTAAGATTTAAGGTGAAATGTAACACCTTTTCAATACACTGTCACGATGCCTTCTGGGATTTTGCACTGCAGGATATAATTTAATGGATTTTAATGGAAACCCAAAATCTGTCAGAGTAATTTCTATGTTCTGGCTTCTGTCGTCAGATGTTCTCGCTGACATGTCTCAGGCGTCCCAGACTTGCTTTAGCTGCCTGTGTCCAAGTACAAGTCGCAGGCAACTTAAAACAAGCCTCGGAAGCTAGACTGAATCTGTGGTCGCAATAGTGGGAAAATATGCAGGCAATCTTTCAACCGGGAAGACAGAAATTCACAGAAATCCACAAGAGACTCACTGAAGCATCAAAAATAAAAAAAAATTAAAAAAAATGCAGGTATTTGTTTCTGCTTTGAAAACAAGTCAATCTTAGATCTGGACAAAAAAGCAGAGCATATGTCTGACATATTACTGAAGCTCAGGCGATTAGAAAGTTTGCATTTTGTAATATACATTGTCGATTTTAGCTACTTGTTACCTGAACCAACTAGAAAATACAACAGTCAATCCTGCAGTTAGCAAGGTTTGCTAAGTGCAGGATTTTGCCTGAGTCTTGACTTACCTTTATGCTAAGAACTTCTTGCAGCTCCCTCCACTTCTCAAATGTCCCTTCTGTGTGAGCCACGCAGCAGCTCCTTTAATCGGGTTGTAGAGGAATGTATATTTGAGAAAGGTGTGTGTGCAAAGTTACACATTTATCAAAGATCCTGTTGTTTCTGGGCGTGGGACAGTGGGGCCAATTGGGGTGTAATGCGGAATCCAACGTCCTGGACCAACAAATGGAAGTAAACACACACCAGGATCCTGGCAAACGTCAAGGATAAACACGACAGTGTCATATTAGGATGGGCAAACAAAAACTAAGCTGCTCAACTGTTAAAGGATGTGGACTGTCTTTTTCACACTCTTCTTGCATACATTGTTCTCAGAACTGAGAACACTTGCAAGTACAAAATGAAACAACTCCTAATTTGACCTTTGAACAATCCCATTTTTGGCACCCATTTACGAAGATTCCAACTTTTATTTGAAAAAATTGTTTAAATTATTTCACTTCCAGAAGAAACTGATGTAATTTCTTTCAAATAAATGTAAGCTGAATTGTGTTTATGAGAGTTTATGAAAGTTGTGCCAAATCATAATCAAGAATTTCTTACTATGTTGTAAATGTAACCAGAATTTTGCTTTAAGATGGAAAAGAAGAGACATGCAGAATGTTTTAGTCATTGTTCCGCATAAGTTAGCAACAGACTTCAAGAAAATAGCTGCTCACTCAAAGTTGCCTACAGTCAGTGCAATACATATAAAATAAAATAAAACCATTAGTACTGTAACAAACAATAGAAAAAGGTAAAAAAATAAATAAAAATAACAATCAAGGAATATCACTAGAAGTTTGTCAAAAGGAGGAATAAATGGAAAAGCACTTCTTAGTTATGGGAGAGGATCTGTGATGCTGTGGGCCTCTCATTTCCAAAAGGTCCTGGGAACCTTGTTACAGTGCATAGAGTGCATTCACTTGTTAAAATACAAAACTTGTCACAATCTGAAAATTAATCACTGTTGGTTGTTTTAGAAAGACACTTATCAAAAACATATTGTTCAGGAGACACTCTCAACCTTCTTTTATGCAAATTTCAGTCCACAACACAAGGTGTTGGTTTTCAAACAGATTTTCTTTTGCTTATTCTGAAGTCTGTGGATGTGTTACTGAGCACTGGAGTTGGCTGATGTTGGCACCTAATTTGTGAGAACACAATATGTAGACTGGCCAGACTTTGTGTCGACTTTGGTCTTTAGTTTGTGTTGCTAATGCAAAAGCAAAAAGTTTTCTCCCACATATTTGTGCCAGATACATCTGTAAATAATGGATGGGCTCAGTTTATAAAGTTGCCACCTGATACATATCAACTTTATTTATTTATTTTTAATGTATGCAAATTGTAACATTTGTAAAACAAATAATAGAAACAAAAGTAATCTCATGCTCTCGTTTATTGGAAATAAGAATACAGTATGACAAGAACAACACTACACATCCTAAAGCCTAACAGAATCAAATCTCCCCATGAAAGGCTAGATATGTCCTCGATAAATACAAAATCAATATTTAACTGTGATAGCAGCCTTGCTCACAAAGCTAAATGGGCTCCGATGTTGCCATGGAATGAATTGACCAAATTAAGATGAAAGAAATTTATTGGAGATGAAAAAAAATAAAGAATACCAACAAACAACCTCTATTTTGGAAGAAAAAGCTTTATTTCCTATTTCAAGAACATGCTTTAGCATGGTAGTAGAAGTGTATATCCATACATCCAGAGCCACAGAGCGATCGAAAGAGATAGTCTACTGTTCTGTGACAGAGGTCTGTCCAGGGTTTGAGGTGAGGAAGCAATTAGAAAGGAAGTTTCTTTTTTTTTTTTTAAGTTGGTTCAGGCAGGCAGTGTGACGATCTAGTGCTGGATCCTACGAATGGACTGCACCTGGTTGGTGTGAGCCTGGGTGCTGAACTCGTTGTAGTTTCTGTACTCGCCTTGGTGTCTGTCTCTCTCCAGGATGTACTGGTAGCCACGGTAGCCAGGGAACTGATAGGCCACCCAGCTGCATAAAGGAACAGAACAAGCAAAGCTTGAAAATTCAGACGAATAGTCATAAACGGTGGTGTTTTGGAAGGAGATAGCATCCTAAATCCCCGCTAACTTACACCAGGAAAAATCTAAATCTATAGAAAATGACACAATAATAAAAGAGAAAAATTACACTGGTTGAAAAAATTAGGCCTGCAACAAGGAAAATTACAAAGACAAAAAAAAAAAAAAAGGAAAACAATTAGGAGAAGGAATGAAGAGAGACGTACGCTCCTGAGTTGACTTTCATGGAGGGCACCTCCTTGCTGCACCAACCCATGGCCTGTAGGGAGGGGTAGTCATCGCACATTTCAAACTTACGGCCCTGGAAGTCCTCACACTCATACAGGGTCACCTTGCTATCACTGTGATTCTGCAGAGAACACATTTAAACATATTCAAGACTTTTGCAATGAGATGTCAAAAAAGCTACTAATATTTCTTTGTTCATACTGAAAGAAAAAAACACCATTCAGCGTTCAATCCTTTTTCTTTCAATTAATACTAAATAAATTAGACTAAGCATGTCTACAGATTTCATTATGTTTGAATTACATGGCTTCATGCTATGATTTGATGCACAAGACTGAAACCAAAATGAAATTATTTCAACATATGCAGAGTATTCAAAGGAATGAGGAGGGGTATTTTTTATAAATACAGATGGAAAAGAGAAGTGAGTGAGGGAGGACTCACGGCACACTTAATGGGTCTGAAGGAAAGCATGTGCTCGGTTCTGTAGCTGCTGTTTCCACTCCAAGCCTCATAGCGAGGATAATCTCCCTTCTCCAGGATAAATTGCTGTCCCTGAAACTCTGGGTACTCGTAGCCCACCCACCTGGACAGCAGAGAGAAGTAAGGATCAGAGGAGCTGAAAAACAAAATACTACAAAAACACTCCAGAAAACTTGGTTCAGATAAGAAATGACTCTAAAACTGTCCACCTGTGATGAACACCCACAGTTTGGTCTCGCATAAAAAACAGAATGCAGCTTCTTTTGTCACCGTCTCACACAAAGCAAACATTAAGCTGTGCAGTGCTGCTGCACCCAGGGCGCCTTATCTGATCAGCAGTCAGTCAGTCAGTCAGTCAGCCAGCCGTTCTGGCTCGCAGCCAGCAGCTGCTCACAGCCAGCTCTTATCAAAAACAGGGTCACACTTGGATGCGTATACACACGAGATGCATACCAAATATCGGTGTAATAAAAACACAGGTTGTATTTTCCATGTATATGTATATTTTTTTGTTATTAGATCTTTGTTTGCACTATATCTCATCAGATCAGACTTTTTAAAGCAAATCAATAGAAATGTATTTTTGCTTTAGCTTAGAAATTCCCAATTCAACTATTTTTTAAATATTTAAGAAGAATTATGAATTATGACAGCTGCATTGTTCATATAGGCATGGCTAATGTCTAGCATTAATGTGGTGCAAATCGGCATTGGTAAAGCTAACCTTTATTGTTAGATGAGCTGGTAGGTAATTCATACAAAAAAACAAAAATAGTGAATTGTGAACACAAGGAGTTTAAGACAAGCGTATGTGAGCAACAGGGATTCATCGGAGAGCTAACTTACGGTCCGTTGTCAACCTTGATGGAGCGGATCTTGTTGAAGCCCCTCTCCATGATGTTCTGGCACTCCAGCATGAACTCACAGCGCTTGCCCTGGAAGTTCTCCTCCTCCCAGACTGTGATCCTGAACTGGCCCATCTGCTCCATCTGTTGAGGGTTCATGGCTGCTGCTTCTCCCTTTGAGGGGTGCTTCTCTGCGGAATAGGGTGAAAAACATACATTTCATTCACAACACAAAGTGTCCATCAGTTGTGAGTTTTATCCAAGAAAAAGCAAGTGTTCTCTGTGTGTTAAAGCAGATACTATTTATCCACATTAAAATCATGATAAGCTTAAAGCAGGGGAGGGGGCTCGAGCTTAAATTAATTGAAAAATCAAATAAAACAACACAAATCTTTCAAAAATTCAAGTGTCCCTTCTTGTTTCAAAACGATAACAATCCAAAACTAAAATGAGAAGCAAAAGCAAATAATAATGATAATATATATATATTTTTTTAAATTTGCGTATCCATTATTTTTCTACAGACAACCGCTTTATCAATAAATAATCATTGGTATAAGAAAAATTGGACATTGCAAGCTTAAAAAACTGGTTTTCAAGCCAAACATAAGCTCACTATTCTCTAAGACATTAAACAGATAGATAAACAATAGATAATAATATTAATTGTATTTCAATATATCCCCAGGCTTATCTCTGAAAACAAAAGCTCATAAAGTACATCCATCAGAGGCCAATGTGATGCATAATATACGTTGGTATCTTGCTTCCTGTTGGGCTCCACCTCAGTCACTCACACCCGTCTCCCCACAACTGTATCCGTTTTCTTGTAGCTAAGTTTGAGGCAACATGTGGGCATACTTACAGACAGTACTGAGGTGGGACAGATCCAGTATAATCAATGTCGGCGAGGAGACCCTCGTCTGTGTTTTTATAGGGCTGGGCCCCCTGGACCTGCGTCGCTCCATTTGCCCAGCAACCTTGCACACTCAGCAGCTGAACAGGCCGCCTGAAAGGGCAGCATTAGCCTCATGCTTTGTGGAGGCTCCAGAGCACCATTGTCCTCAGAGCCCCAAACTGACTTAGTCATCAATACGGCAGCCATGGCTGTTGGCAGCCTGACCTGGGACTATACAATGGCAACGCACTGACACGACAGTTTGATTGGTGTAGTGGGATAATAGAGACATTCTGGGAGCTGATCCCCACTCTCTCTGCTGTAGGTGAACTGAATCCTAAACTCCTAGTGAGGAAAGGGGTTTAGGCATCCCACACAGTGAGTACTTGGGTGTGTGTTGATTTCATTTACGGAGCCTGTTTCCTTCTGTACCAGGGTATGCTGGTCAGCTGGAGGAAGTGATGCACTCATACAGGGAAGGTTTAACTGGCTCTGCCCAGTAGAATTTGGGTTATTTGCGTCTTTTACCTCCTTTCTCACACAGAGCTGAGACAGTTACTACGCCTATGACAATAAGACATAATGACATAGAGATACATGGAGAATAGATATGCAAATTTAGAACTAAACCAAATATAATTTGTAGATACTTCAAGTATTATTAGCACAAGTTCAGTCACTGTAACTAGCACTGCAAGTAAAGACGTAAAAACATGGGAAAAAAAATATTACAACTTAATTTTAGGACTTAAAGTGTTTTCAGTCACCTTGATGTTTAGCTTTAGTATTTTATTCTACTATCATGTTATTTTCTTATGTTTGCTGGCCTGTTATGTCACTGTGTTTCCCTTGTTTTGAATGTTACATTTAGTGCTTTGTTTTATAATGGTTTGCTGGTTTCCAGCATTTGACATTGGTGTGAGTTTGTTCTACTGGTTTTCTTATTAAAATACTTTGGTCATGTTTGTACCTTCCTCCTGAATGCATTTGGGTTAATTCCAACAACAAAACATGAGATGTGTCTTTTATTGTAGCACAGCAGTATAATCTCCCAAGGAAAATTTTAGATGAAAGCAAACCTGTAATATTTGATTAATACAGTTTATTTATTTCAGTAACGTGTTTCACTAAGTTAAACACATTCAAAATGTACATTTAATATGACAAATAAATATAATTCAAATGCATATTCTAATTTATTGAGCATCTCTCCAAGTATATTCATTCAATCATGTAAAAACATGTTTTATAAAAAAATATTTTTAACATTTGCAATGTTTGACAATCATAATAATCTCTTTAAAATAAACGGACATGAAGCACTTTCTTCATTTATACCTTACATTTTTAAAATTAAATTTCAATTAGTACCTTCCCATATCTCCAAAGTATAAGTATGAAATAACATACCCAGTGGCCACTGGGCTTGATGACAATCATTGATTATTGTACCACCTTATAGACAGAGTACAGGGGTTAGAGAAGAATTTATGGTGGGAGGAAGGGTCTTAATGTCTCATTTTATCTTATGGACCAACTTGGCTCTATAATAACCAGGATATGTTTTCTATACATGTCAACTGGTTGCATGGAAGTCATTCTAGAAAAAAAATGCTTTTTTTACCTGACAATTAGAAATACTAATATGGAGTTTCTTGAACCCTATTTCCACTACTGTGCTCTTTATTGGATAAAATTAAGATGAATCTTTTTGGCATGAAACTCTCAATGTGGTTTTGGTGTGAAACAAAGGAGCAAAACGTAAAAAATGAACCACCTTTGTGCCGACAGGCTAATAGGGTGGCCAATATGTGAACTTGTGGGACTGTTTATTTTTCATGGACATCAAAATTAAGCCTAACCTCAACTTTGACTTTTATCAACAGAAATCTGGAAGCCTCTGCTAGAAAAATGAAAAGTGAGTCATCACACGGTCTTTTAGTAGGATGATGTCCCAAAATATTATGGTCAAGAGATCAATTGGTTCATTAAAACCAAGTAAGGTACTCAACGGACATACAAACAACACGGAAATAGAACATGTATCATTAGGACATGAGGCCTAAATACTATTGGAAATCTGTGGGTGAGCTGAAAAGAAAAGATGTGACTATAATAAGAAGATACAAGAATGTAGATTATTCTGGATTATATAGTGCAAATTAAAAGATTATGTCAGATTGGCTAGACATGCTTGTAGAAATTATAGCAGAGTAAATAAATGGTGATATTGTTGGAAGTTATTTCTCATCAATGTGGTGCCCTCTTATAATATTCTGAGTGTAAAGAGGGTTACTTATAAATTTAGTGTAATTTTAAATAGATAGTAATAAATGACTGTAATAGTAAGCGTTTTATTTTAATAATCACCCTAGGATGTTTATATTATGGATTAGATCATTCTAAAAGCATTATAGCGTTGTTTTGTACTGCTATTTTATTTATTTTTTTCATATAACAATCAACATTTGTGTATTGCAAGATTTAACTGCAAAAGTTTATTTATTTAAACTGTGAAAGTAATGGATATTAAATCCCAAGCGTTGAGATGCGTTGTTGAGTTTGGACATGTGTTTTCTTTAGCATCAGTGACATCTAGTGGAAATTATCTGCATGATATTCTGGTGGGGAAAGAGTACTAACCCCTTTATATTGCAAATGATTGAAACATTCGCTTTTCCTTTAGTTATCTACTAAAATTTGTATGGATTTCTCCTTAAAGTGAAATAATTTCATCAAAGAAACTACCTTTTCTTTCAAACTGACGGTGACATTCTGCAGAATTAATATGCTGATTTGTTGCTGATTAAACTTTTAGACATCTGCTGGTTTCCTAGACTTCCTGCATTCATAAATTCAGTTATTCAAATCCTTCTTCTCTCCCTGAATATTGTATTTGATGGAGTTCTTAGTAACGTTGATCATCTGTGTAGCGAGGGGTTTCACCTGTAGGGTATATGGGCTGTTTATTTGTATGAACAGCTTTCTCTTTGTCTGATGTTAGCCTGTTCATTGTCCTCCTCTCTACATGTGTGTCCATTAGTGTGTGTCAGCCTGCTTGTACCCAGAGCAGGTGATGAGCAGGTGAAAGGCTTATATAGACACAGATGTTGGGTGCATGTGTGTGTGTGTGTGTGCTTACATTACTCATGGTGTGAGGTACAACTCTGTTTACCTTGTCAGGTTGCCTCAACCTGTCGCGCTTTACAGACAAAAACAAGAAAACATGATGGCAAGTTTCTGTTACATGAGTCATTAAATTTTAATATTGCATCCACAGAAAATAATTCAAACAGAATGAGTATTGCCTGAACAATTGGGGCTATGTGTTTGTCTTGGGGGTTGGGACCGGAAGTATACTTTCCTTTTTCCTCTATTGGGTTTGATTAAATGAATTATCCCTACTTCATTACTCACACAGCCTACACAAGAAATAACGCTAATTTTTTTTTTTTTTTTTTACTTCTGACTCCAATCTGTGCCCCTATCTCTACCCATGACGTTGAAAGTTATACTTTGTCTGAACCTGGTTCTAATCTGAAAAATGTAACCCAGAAGTAACACACCTGAACAACTCATTTCCCTGTGAAATACAGCAGGGAGGGGGTAATTTGCATGTGTGTGGGTCAGTGGAGTCAGGTACAGAGCTAGCACTGTGTGGTCCTACTTTGAATCCTTATCTGGCTGCATAACAAGTCCATTCATGTGATTAAACTGGTCAAATGACTCATCTCATCTACCAGCTACTGCATCACTCATATATACATGGTATTCATGTTTTTATTTTAGTTTCACTGGAAAAAATGTATTTGTAAAACATATACATATACAATCGAATTTGCCTTTTTCTGACTGATGGCCTTTGTATCAAATTTAGAGGAACTGCCTTTCATTGAGACTCCAAACATAAATAGGTTGTCTCCATGTTAAAGGTTTGTGCTTGTTTGAGGGAGAACGTAACATGCTTAAAGAAGCCCTTTAGTAGGTTGCATCCATCCTTTTTTAAACTCTGGAGTGACAGGTCTTGTCACTTTTCTTTATACACATTTGTAATAATGCTGCCTTAAACTACCATTTTATTGTTCCAAATCAGAAATAATCCTTTTGTGTGTCTGCTCTGTCTTCTCAAACCTTCAGTCAATGGTGGTAGATTGCCTGTTGTACTGAGCCAGGCTCTGGTTCTGTTGGAGTTTTCTGCCTGTTAATAGTGAGGTTTTCCTCGTCACCATCATAAGGGATTGCTGTAAAGTCAACGACAGAATGCAAGCAATTGTCTACTGTCCCAGCATGGTGGCCAGGTAGAGTGAAGCCGATTAATTTGATGTAATCTGCTGAGTTTCCTTAGAAACTTAAAAATTAACTGGGTTTAATAAACTGGAATGTGTTTGTGATTGAAGTGAAATTATGTTTTGTAAAGTGCCTCAAGATGTCAGTTGTTGGGAATTGGTACTATATAAATAAATTAAATTTTTTTGGTAAATCTTTTTTGTTTTACCTCTGATTCTTTACATGTCACCAATTGTTGTCTCCATTTCCAGGAATTCTGTATGACAGGTTTTCATTTTCTTTTTGTTTGCTCAGAAGATACTGCACACGTTTTACACACAAATATTTGACACATAATCAAAATATTCCTGGTTATTTGAATTATTTCAATATTCATTTCAGGATCTTAGACTTAATTACTTCCATGTGCTTCTTTGTACCCACACCAACACACGCACACAAGACTCTTTGTATATCCACACACACAAGCACTCTGACTGTAGATTGCCCTGAGCAAATGCCCTCCTCCAGCCGGAACGTTACCATGGGGACTAATCCAGGTAAGGATGATGTGAGCAGGACATCTGCCCATTCCACCTTCACTTGCTGGACACCTAAGCAGCTGGACAGAAAAACACTGAGAGAATATTCGATAGGTTTGAACATTTCCTGTGATAGCCTCCATGAGTCACCGCTGGTGTTGGAAAAGGGAAAACAGAAATGCTGTCAGTATTAAAGGGTGACGACAGGCACCCACACAAGGCTTTCTGCACTCTCAGTTTATTATGTAATGGAGAACATTTAGCTGAACAGTGTAAGAACAGATGTCAGTGTTAAAACACACTCTCTAAAGGTGAGAGAGTAAAAGAAAACCTTTCCAAGACCCGATCCTTTTTGATCATTGCTCATTCAATGTTACAGCATTGGAGAGCAAAAAGACGCATCTCCTGGGAGACAGAGCAGGCCTTAGGCATTTGCATGACTCTTCATTATCAGTAACTGTCAGAGGAAACAGCCAGCAGGCAGCACACACACACAAATGAACTAACACAGCCTCTGGGTAGCACTCACTCCACTCCACCATGATAGTACAACAAGAGTTGGACAGGCACCACAAATGCAATCATGTTGATGCTGCAGAGATACAACAAGTGCTGCTAATGTCTCAGTGTGGCCCAGCAGAGTAGAGTTTAAAGGGTCACGGAAAACAGTAGTAGACATAATGAAATGAGACAATTCAACTGTCAGGGGCAGACATGCGTTAGCTCAATTTTGTAAATTGCCAGTTTATTGGGTAAATCCAGTGTTAAAAGAACGGAGGACCATCTGAAGAGTAACACAAACTAAATATTTTGGCAGTTGTAGAAAATACCAAACAGTAATATACAATAACATAAAACAATAACATGAAATGGGTAAAATTGTACATAATGTATTTTTTCTGACAGCGAGGTTAGAAAGCCTTGCAATGAAATTCACTCTTACTTTTCATTTTTTGCCATGTTACAGTCAAAAATGTTAACGTACATTTTTGTTATTTTATGTGATAGACTATAAATAAATAAGAATACATCAGACTTATGTAAAGTCTGATGTATATAAGTACTCAATTTCCTTTATTTTGTAAAGTAAAATTCCCCCATTTACTATGTAGGTGAAAATCACCAGATGAGCAGGTGAAAATCACCTACATAGTAAATAGTCTACTTGTGTGAACTAAAATAAACATAATACAACCTTAATACAACAAAAAATAATGTCTATTTTGGATAACAGCAGTATTTTCAGTCAGTCTTCACCTAGAGCCTTGAACAAATGACTTCTGCAAGTTAACACAACAACTGGGAGCTGGAGGACGGGTGTAGCAAAAGCAAGCACCAGTTGGGACAGTCGTTTTAAAATGGAAGCAAAGTAACCAGGATACTAAGAAGTGTAAGCCATCCACCTTCCACTGGCTTTAAGCAAATATTGACTGGAGAATCAAGCAGAGGCAAGGAGGCTCTCAGGTAAAGCCTGACATGCAGGCGAGGTCAGGCTTTCTAATGATAAGATGAGGCTATAGGTGTTTTCTGGAACAATAAATGATTAGGGGGATTTAAAAGAGACATGAAGGCAATATTAGTGTGATAATATACATAACAGACAAACTGGTAGACATGGTTTGATGTCAATCCCAAACCCTAAGGTCACTTTTGAGCAATACATTTTGTTAAGTATTTTTAAATGGATATGTGTAGTAAATATGTAGTATCATCCCCAGTTATAGGTAGCCATTGTGTACAAAATCTTATGTTAAGAAGAAAAGGTCATTTATTATCAAACAACTAAAACCTTTTGCATTATGCTGAATATAGAAAAACATATTAATGGATGGCAAAGGAGTGGCAATGGTTGAATACTTCAGCATAGCATCCTGATGACAGATGGCTTGTACCAGATCTGTGTGTGTGTGGGGGGGGGGGGGGGGTGTGCGTGTGTGTGTGTGCAGTTAATGTTTAGTTAATGATTAACATAACCTCCTATTAAGGCCACCTCTCTGGCCCGCCTGAGGTCTCGCTTATTTACGCAGAAAATGATTAGTGATGAGCAGAACCCCACAGTGGAGAAAAAAAAAAAACATGCTCCATGAATTTGCCAATGGAAAAAATGATTATCAGAAGCACACTAAAGGAGGGAGATCAAGAGATTATCACCCCCAGGTCCTGGTAAATGTCAACCTCTTCTGCACAGGTGGGACACATCGGTAGTCTGCATTTTTTTTTTTTTTACTGGTTTCCAGTTCAAATAGAATGCAATGTACATATACGAGACATAGATTTACAATCATACAGTTGCATCTTTTACTACAAAGAAAATGTTGGATAAAAGTTGCTCTGATGGAACCTACAGAAACTTTACTGGAAAAAGACTATCAAACTTAGGAAACAACATTAGTCTGAGCTGCTTTCTCTCGTCTAAAAACTGTGGAAACAATGAGTTAGTCTGAGCTGCTTCCTTTAGAGCAGTAACTGCTGCCAGCTGTATGCAAATAGGACAATGTACCTGCTCAGTGAAATAAAGGCTGCAGCACACCTGCAGGCAGTCACTAAAAGAATTATCATCATGGAGATCTCAGATGAAATACTGGCTCTAACTTCACTTTTTATGCATTTTCTTTCTGTTTTATATAACTTTGTGAGTCATACTGCTGCTTCTGATCCATTTTAGTGCAATAATATTTTTTTTTTTTTTAAATGACTGGATCAGAGTTTTGAGCAGCGTTCATCTCATCTGCGCAGTCCAAGTCCAAAAGTCAAACTTCGTGCCTTTTCCAGATGCCCACCCGTACCTGCGTAACGCGAGCCGAACGAACAAAACTTCATCTTCAGGTATTGTACGTGAGGCTCAACGTGAAGCAAATACAGAGAAAAGTGAGGAAAAGTCACCAATGGTGCGGCGTGACGCTGTTCTGGGACACAGCAGCTGGCGTTTCTCTTCTCCGCTGTCTGAAAGGGTGAAAGGTTTTTAAAAAGTGAAATAAATGAGATAAATATAGAACAGCGCCTGGAAACTAGTGAAAGAATTGATGCTCTGCTGGAACTTACGGCCTACCTTGAGAAGAAGTAAAGCAATAAAGGAGAGGGGAAATGTGCAAGCTGGGTCTCCACCTTTCCCACGCATTGAATGTGTGCGTTTTGTGACAGGTATGCACCTTTTATACTTCCCCACGCTCCCCCCTCCTCCTCGCCCCTCTGTCCTCCTTTCTCCTCCCCTGTCAGTGGATCCTCTGGGCGCAGACACCTGTCGCACGGTGCGTTGCTCTGATCCAATATTGACATAAAGAGGGAGGGGCACGCGGGTGTGTGTGTGCGTAAAACACGCGCGACCAAAATGAATTATACCAAAGTGCGCGCCCTCCTCCTCTTCCTGCTCCGGTGTGCCAGGCAACGACATGTGTGACCTCTGCGCCTACACTGAACTGTAAAAAGCCTCATTGTAACGTAGCTACCTGACGACAAGCTCCAGCCCTGCCATACAGCTTCTGTAATGGGATTATTTTCATACCCTTTGCCTTGCAAATACCCGCGTGGAGCTGACGGCTCACTTTGTTCCACAACTTTTTGAAGGAAGGCTCATTTATGGTTGTGCAGAGAGGGATGGATTTTAGTTCACATGGGTCACAAACTCAGAAATCCAACCAGAGGTACACAAAGTTATTTATTTTATGTAGGGAGTCTTTAAAATCCTGGCATTACGTGGAAAATAAAATTACTCACCTTGTTGAATCATACATAAACTGTGTTTAAGAATTTTTTTTTTTTGTCAGTTTCGCTTCCTGTGCTATCCTCATTATTGTTGGACTGAAAAAAAAACAAAAAAATGTTATCAATTAAGCATATCCTGTCTGACATGAAGAAAGTTAAAAGTCAACACATATTGTGATTTAAAGTTAAACATCACCAATTAATGATCAACTATCAGACTGAAAACCTTTATAAAGACATTTCTAAGGCTTTAGGATCTTTGGCTGGCAACCCACTCTGGTAGCCATTATCCACAAATGAAGAAAATATGAACATTCACCAAAGTGGCTGGCCTACAAAAATTTATCCAAGAGTTCAACAACTTATCCACAAGATCATAAATAAAGCCAGAATATCCTAAACACCTAAGGTTACGCTTTGCACTGTAGAGTTCATAATTCTCCAGTAAGAAAGAGACTTGGCAAGACTTAACAGTTCCTGGGTCTCAACTTTCTGATCACAGAAAGTAGAAAGACCAAAAATAAAACCATCTTAATGACCCTAAAGGTGTTGAGTCCTCTCTGGCTTACTGGACTAGACAAGCAAATAAGCAACAGAAAACTCAGTCATGGCCATTGCCTTCAGTTGTGCTCAATTCTTATCTCCCTTCAGTTTCTGGGATTTCTCCCATTGAGCTTGATTTCTTCAGTTGAATGTCAGTCATTGAATAGAAAAATAAGTTCTGAACAATTGACATTGAGTTTCTCCAGTGTTTTAGAACTGTATTTTGTCTATGGTTATAGTTTGGCAATGGCAGCAGAGGAAGTAAATCAAACCATTCAATCTGTGTTGGCCACGACTCCAAATATTGATCAATTAAAGAGGAATGTAGAAAACATTTTATTGCATGCAAAGATCTTGAGGCCCTTGTCCACAAGGGCATGTTTACAGTCAGTTTCATCAAGCTGGCGCATTACATCCATCACAACCAACAACAGCATTTGGGTAAAATCAGAACCAAGCGCTTAAAACCTCAATAGAATCTACGTCTTGTGAGGGAAAGCATTGAACAAGGTGATGGCTTTTACGAGTCGACTCAATCAAGATGCAACTTACAAAATCTTCTCTTTTTTACACCCCACAACTGAAGGTCACCCAGAGCAGGGAGCCGTATCACTGATGTCAAAATGCAAGACTGGCTACAGATAATTCTTCCACAACAGAAGATCACACAGCACACTCACCAGACAGCTAGTCAATAAGAGATCTGCATGTCTGCTGCAAATTGGCAGGTCATTCCTCTAATGTATGGGTTAATGGGTTGTACATAGTAAGAGAAATGCATTGAATTAGAGCCTAAACATACCCCTAGGGTATTCTTAAAATTAGATTTTCTACTAAAAGGTAATTTGCAGTTTAAATTACAGGAACAGATATTGGCAGAAAAACTGAGAATAAACACATATATGCATATATATACTTATATTTTTTTTATTTCACAGGCATTTCACTAACAACACAAACTAACAAAGACTTGTAAATATAATATCTTGCTACCAAATATACATGTAAAAACACCTGAGTCTGAAAAGGAGTATGATGAATTTTAACTTACATAATCATATCCCTTTTCCGTTCAGTAATTCCTAACATAAATAATCTTCCAATTTTCCATCTCCCTTTTAAAAGGGAGATGGAAAAAATATAGATTTCCTCAACCCTTTATAGCAGCATCTCTTTTAGAGATGCTGGATGGTGACTTGTAACAAGTTGCATTTGAAAAATCTCTTTAAATTAGCTAAAGAGTAAAAAAAAGTTAGTAGTTAATTGCAATTAATCCATTTTTGATTGCAGAAGTAAAAAAGTAGACTAAACATGTATATCTGAACATGACTAAAATGCATAAATGTTTCCACACGGCTGATTGTATACAAATGTGAAATCCTAAAATTGTTAAGATGCTATGAAAAACTGAATTTACTTGTAATCTGCAGCAAATCACTCATTTAAAAAAGTATGTAGAAATAAAACCTAGTTTAGAAAGTTCTTTTAAACTTTTCAAATCATATTGGTCTTCCAACTCAATTTCCTCTAGATTTTGCTAAACCAAAGAAATCACAATATTTTGACAGGGTTTCACAGGGTTTAAATGTTCTAACCTAAATAATCAATATACATGACCTAAAATCAGAAATTGTACTGATTAAAATCAAATACAATTAAATGACTACTAAAGCTTAAAATTTTCAAATAGGACAACAACAAACTACAGATTATACATACCAATTGTGGCTACATATTCTTGTAATCATGGCCTTAAAAAATGTAGTTTGCAGTACTGGCAAGACAGAAATTTGTCTCTCTAGGTTATGAGATAAAAAAAATAAGAACAGAATGTCAAAAGCCACTCTGGTTATTTGTGAAAATCAACATTTATTTATTTTGTACTACAGTTTGTTTTTAATAGTTTCCTAGCTTTGGAAAGCACTTAAAGCAAATTGCAGACATTTTCTGTATGTAACAAAATCTTGTTTCCATGAAATACAAAGACGTAACACCAGTACTGTAAAAATTACATTTTATCAAGTAAAGCCCGTAGGACAACAGTGGCCCTGTACAGAAGGAGCAACAATACAAACTCAATTTCTGTTTCATTTTAAAAGCAGTTTCAGTAATTTAATGTGTCATAGTTCAGACACATATAAAATCAGATCGCAACTCCGGGCTGCCTAATTATAGTTTAGTTTGATGCATATAATAAACTGTTTATTTTTTTCAATTTAGATGCATTCAAAATGACTACCTCTATCAAGCAATGTGCTGTAGAGGTTACAGCACATTAAAACTGAAAATCAATATTGGCCAGGAAAAGCCTGATCTGTGATTTCTACACTTTTGCAGCAAAGCTTTAAGGGTCTTTCACAAAACTGAAAATTGAAGGGTGATGCATATTTCACACTTATATTAAATCACTTTGATTTAAAAAAAAAAAACAACAAAAACATTTTCTTTAGATAGGCATGTTTCATACAACAAATTAGAGATGACCATGTGTTAACAATACGTGTTGGTTGAAATGTCCCCTGAATATTTGCTGCCCACTTTTACAGACAGTTGTAGTTCAACACAATGATGAAACTCCTGAGATCTTACTGGTCACTTTGACCCAATCTCCTCTTGTAGGCATCCCAGCCCGCCTTTCTATAGAACTCGGCAGCCTCGAGCCTATCAGGTGCCTCCAAAATGCCTCGTCCCACAATGATGATGTCTGAGCCTTTGTTGTGGATCACGTCCTCTGGGGTTGTGTACTGTTGGCCCATCAAATCCCCTGGGTGACAAAAAAAAAAAAACACAGAGAGATCAGGAAAGTTGTGAAGAAGAAAGAGGAATGAATGAGAGGGTCAACAAATAATTTCTAAAGCAACAGCACCACCTAGTGTTGGGAAAGTGTCATTAAATCTATCATTAAATCTTTGCAATTTTAAAATAAGACTAAAACAACATTTTAAATTACCAGCAATTAAGGTGTTATAATCATGTAATTTTATAAACTATTAAACCAAAGAAGTGTGAAAAACAATGTAATCCGTCATCCATCTCTACAAACCAGAAAAAATAAATCATGCGACCTGTTGTACAAATAAATTTAGATCCTGACAGTTTCCCACAACAAAGAAACAACAAACTGACATGAAGTGAAGTTTACCTCCAGCCTTTATCTGCACACCAGGAGTCATGTGGAGAAATTCTGGTTTTCCGGTCACCTTAGAGCCACAAATGAACCCAATTACAAAGTCTGAGTTTTCCTCTGCCATCTTCACCTGGAGAGAGAAGAAACAAAGCTGCAGTAAACCCTGAAGCACCATGTATTGTGATAAGACCTCAGCAGAAAGGTGCTTACCACAGCTTGTGTGTATTCACCAGAAGCCAGAGAGCCTTGGGAGCTCATCTGGGCAATGAGTAAACAGCCTCGGCCCAGAGGCTTCCCCACAGCGCTCAAGCCCTTCACGACCCCGGGCCCCGGCACAGCGTGGGCGTTAACGATGTGGGACCAAGACGAGATCCGGAACACACCGCCTGGAGAGAACAAACACTAATTCAGCTCAACTGTGAACTTATTTTATACATCTGGTTGCTCTTTCACAAAAGGAAGAACTGTCTAACACCCTCATACTGATGCTTGACTGTATTTCCAATGTCAGCAAACTTGCGGTCTTCAAAGATGAGAAAGTTGTGTTCTTCAGCCTCAGCTTGGAGTTTCTGGCTGAACTCTTCTGTGAAATCCTGATGGTACACACACAAAAAAAAACATTTGTTTAAGTGATTCAATCACATTTTTTAAGCAACAAAGTGCTTCTCTTCTACCTTCAGGATGTCACAGTGAGTCTTCAACATGCAGATCTTTGGACCGACAGACTCGACCAGCTGGAGCAGCTCCTTGTTGCTCGTCACGTCAGCAGAGACACAAAGGTTGGACTGCTTCTCCTCCATGATCTTGAGCAGTTTAGATGCCAGGGGGTGAATTTCTGCAAACCAACTGATGTTAGCACACCAAATGAGCAAGCCATTTGATTTAATAGATATTACATACTTGGCAGCTCTGCTCTGTCTGCATAACTTAAAATTCGCTTTGGTTCCACACATGGCTTCTTGGGAACTGGAGCATCACTGCCATTTGTCTTCTTAGGCCTGAAAGACACAAAATAAACATGAAGCATAAACTAGCAAAATAAACATAAACTAGCCTGACTCTGCAGAAGTATTTAGATTTTTAAATCTTGCAATAAGGCAATGACTAGCTTCATTGTATTTTGGGGGGATTTTATGCAATAGATCAACACAAAGTAGAGCATAGTGGAAGAAAAAAAAATTACAATATTTTCAGAAACTTTTGCAAAAGAAATATATTGTTTTAAGTCAGCTATTAAAAATTCTTGTTGAAACAAGAATATATGCTTGTCTCAACAAGCATATATATGTATTTTGCTATGCTTTCCTATAGCAAAAACTGGTAGTAAATTAAGTGGTTTAACTGATGAAAGATGAAATAGGTCAATCTCAGCAGCTCTTCATAGCTTTAAAGCGAAAGCTAAAGGTATATTTTTTCCCAAACTTTGTTAGCTTTTTTATCCATTTTGAACTATTTTCTCACCAAAAACAGCACTACAATGCAACCATAGAACTACCAAAAAGTGCATAAAAGCAACAAACCCAAAATGAACAACAAATCACAGAAGAGACTCAATGTTACCAGCACATATCTCAAACAGAAAAAAAGCAAACAAAAGTTAATTAAGCATAAATTGAGAACTGGAAAAATAGGTATATTTATGTATTTTTAAGGCCCAAAGGTATGACTTTCTCAGGTCTGACAGCCACCCAGCAGAAAACCAAAAAAAAAAAAAAAACCTTTTTCAGTACCTGAAAGTGTTGTTGTCCAGGATGAACTTACGGACACTCTGGGCTGTCGTGGCGTTGATGCGTTCAGCTGTAAGCAGTACATCAAGCAGCTTGAACATGGAAATGATGGGCAGGAGCCGAATTCCCCGAGATGCTAACATCTCCACCCCACCTTGCTCTCTGTCCATCAACACAATGGCATCTGTCACCTTGAAATGTAAAACAGAGACATCCCACAAACATCACAACGTTTAGAAGAATTTATTTGTAAAAGCTTCGTGTTGCCGTGTCTAAACATCAGTCATTGTTTACCTTCAGCCCCTCTTTATGGAGAACTTCTGCCGTTTCCAGGATGCTGCTGCCGCTGGTCACTGTGTCCTCGATGATTAAACACGTATCCCCCTCACAAAATGACCCCTCCACCATCTTTTTAGTTCCTGTATTACAAAACAAAGATGCAGAGGACAAACTGACAACCAGCTGGGCCTATAAGAAAACTAACCAAAATAGTGTATTAACCTAACCTGACCCTGTGTTTTGAGAGATTGATAAATTGAGATAGGCTCACCGTAGTCCTTGGCCTCTTTCCGCCTGATGAGCATGGGCAGTTCGTTTCTTGAGCAGATAATTGTGGCCAGAGGCAGGGCCGTGTACGGAACCCCACACACCGAGTGAAACTGAAGGTTCTCTTCCTTCGCTCGTTGGTAGATGACGCTCGAAACCTGTGAAGAAAAGCAAAACAAAAGGTGTTTGGTGGCCTTCACTAAACTGCATCCTCAGTTCTCCGATCTGCACATAAAGGTCCCACATCATTTTAACAATTGCTGAAATGTAGCTATAAGTTTCCTTCCTCTACAAACACAAGACAAGCTATGAGGAAAAGGATCAGTCATAGGTGTAACCCAGGTCCCCTCTCATGCCTTCAGGTAATTTACACAAGTCCCTGCAAAAACCAGGGAAACTAGAACATTTTAACTGCAGATATAAATGTTTAGAGTTTTTCTTCTAACTATAACCTTGTCCCCTCTTTGATCTGCACTTTGTTTACTAGGGATAGAGTGTTTAGAATCTTTTTAGAGACTAAACGGTAGTGGTCATGGCCTTTGAGCCTTAGTACTGTGGGTCACCTGGGTGTTTAGTTAACTGCACTTATTTCTAGTGCTGAATAGGGTTCTTAATCCCTGCAAAACAGTTGCAATGACAAAATTAAGGAATCAGGACTAGATTAAATATAATGCATAAACTCAGACAACTTAATTGGTAAACAAAACCAATTCTGGTTAGATCTCCACTTGCTTTCAGTCTTCCAGAGAATAAGGTATCAGAAGGAAATTTTGCATCATATGGTTGCTGCAGATTTTTTTTAGCTGCTCCATGATGGGAATCTACTGTTCCACAAAAGAATCTGGATTTAGATCTGAGACTGTATATATCCTGATGGTTGCATCATATTGCATCTTCTAAAGAAGAAGATCCATTAAATACAGTAGAAGCAGATGTTCTGCTAACATCTTTGTGCCAGAAACCACAGTTCTGGTTTCTGGCAGAAGTCTACTAGAGTCAGTCCCTGATGGGTAACATGAACACTGGTAGCAAATGGGGAACAAAGACACTGTCAGGTAGGTGGTCATAATGCTATGTCTGACTGGGAAATACTATGCAGAGCAGGAAAGTATTGCATCATCTACCAATTACTGCAGCTTTTATATATATATATATATATATATATATATATATATATATATATATATATATATACATATATATATATATATACTTTATTTCAAACAAATACCATTCCAGAGAGGAACTATAAGCAGCTTCTTCTGTAATTCAATATTTTATTCATGCAGTTCAAATGTTTATTTCAAACAATTGTTCCACCTACCTTTTAACATCTCTCCATGTTTACTGCCCTTACAAAGAACATGTATCATGTTGAGCCGATCAGATCAGTTAAAAAGTTGCTGCAATGTAGTTTACGAAGAACAGCTTTAAAAAAATATTATTTTTTTTATTCAGTAATAGTTTAAGCTGAACTCTTGATTACACAAGTCGAAGCAATCTTGTGCAGAATATTTCATGCATTTGCATAGAAAACATTGCTCTCTGTTTTTGAACCAGATCGATCCAAACAGGGTCCAGTTACCACTGATAAGCAGTTTCACAAGTCCTTAAAGTCTGGAAAAATTTGATGAATCGAGTGATTTATTGAAAACCAATCCGCTCAGAGGACTTTGACACACTCGTGTAGACAAACCAATACCAACAAAGATTAATTTTGATTATTTGGAAAGTTTTTACCCTGGAAACAAAAACCAGGCAAAGTTTTCTTGGTTTTTTGTGCCATATTTTGATAGTTACAACCCAAGCACGCGCTGTTTAGCGGGCAAGACTCTGCACGTGCCTACCTGGTTCATGAGAGCCGGGTGGGAAACCAGAACCCTCAGGTCGATATAGATCGGTGTCAGCAGGCCGCTCTTTAGCTTGTACTCTCCGAACTTTACTGCGTTCACGTCGTGCAGCTTCAGGATTAAACTGTCGATAGAAACATCCGCCATTGTTGGGTGTTCAGCAAACACTTCTCTCAAAAACTTCAAGCTGAAACGCGGGTCCTTCCCTCGGAAATGGCTAAAAAACAACTTCCGTGTCATCCTTTCAGAATAAGTGACAAAATTATTCGACACAGTGAGTAAGTGGATAAACAACTACCAAATAAATTATGTTGCGTGACTAAAGTAATTTTTTCAAAAGTATTTCACGTCCTATATTTACTAAACCTACGGTTGTGTCGTTTTATACGATAAATACTAACAATGGAATGGTTGTTTGTATGAACATTCAGAATTATGACACTATAAAAATCAAAAATGGTAGAAAGGAACAACTTTCTCAAGTTCAAAATAATATTTTTTAAAACATATTTCAAGGTGCTTGTTTTATTCTGAAAACCTCTTTGCTAAAAATATGACGCCATCTTGCTCAGGGCAAGAATGAAGCAACAGACATTAGAACTCCGAATTATGTACTAAAACCCTTGATTTAAAGTTCTCCGAGTCCATTTAAGTCCGGAACCGCAACGCATGTCTTTACGCAGTGCGCCAACCGAGTACTCACCCATCAAAAAGCTACCTACTAGCTTAGCTAGTAGGTAGCTTTTGAATTTTTTTATTCAGTAGACTTTCTACTTTTCTTTTATAACAATAGAGTAGAATTAGTGGTATCAGTTTCCATTTCTTTTTAGATAATAAAGAATTAGATCTTAGTGTATTAAATACACTTAAATAAATACACTGGTTGAAAAATTTATCTTAATTTTAAGAGTGCCTCTCAGGGCCTGAGAGTCACTCAGAGTTGTTTTTTATTATTTTTATTTTTTTGGTTGCTCCTATGGACTGCGTAAACTGAGCACCTTTCCATTCGAAGTTCTACAAGTACCCCAAGGACCATCGGAACAGTTAGTCTTCCATGTTAAACTTTAAAAGTCCAGCTGTCTCTCTGGATAAAGAGTGTGCTTCAGACAGTTCCGCACACGTGTCTTGAACTCTCACTTTAGACCCAGTGAGAGTCTAACGTTGTCCATTGTTGCTCCCATGGACTGAGAACTTTAACTTCCTTCTCTTTCCAACATTTACAATTGTACATTCTGGATGCAGTGTATGGTGCAGACCATTCCATAAGCAGATCTTGAACTCCCTCCACTTTCCACCTCTCTGAGTAAAGCCTCCCTAACATGTGCGGAATAAAGCACATGTTAGAGAGTTGGCTCCCTCACTGACACTCTGCATACAGACTATGCTTCGCAGTGTTCCGCCTGCAGGTCTTGAACTCAGACCCACCGGAACCGCTACGCATGTCTTTACGCAGTGCGCCAGCCGAGCACTGACCCATCAAGCTGCTCGAACTCCTAAAAGTACCTCAAAGTCGGTCTTCCGTGTTTAACTTTAAAACTCCAGCTGTCACTCTGGATAAAGAGGGTGCTTTGGACAATACCGCCTGCAGGTCTTGAACTCAGACCCATCGGAACCGCAACGCATGTCTTTACGCAGTGCGCCAACCGAGCACTCACCCATCAAGCCGCTCGAACTCCTAAAAGTTCCTCAAAGTCGGTCTTCCGTGTTTAACTTTAAAACTCCAGCTGTCACTCTGGATAAAGAGGGTGCTTCAGACCATTCCGCCTGAAGGTCTTGAACTCAGACCCATCGAAACCGCAACGCATGTCTTTACGCAGTGCGCCAACCGAGCACTCACCCATCAAACCACTCGAACTCCTAAAAGTACCTCAAAGTCGATCTTCCGTGTTTAACTTCAAAACTCCAGCTGTCACTCTGGATAAAGAGGGTGCTTCCGTCCGTTCCGCACCCGGGTCTTGAAGTCAGACCCATCGGAACCGCTACGCATGTCTTTACGCAGTGCGCCAGCCGAGCACTGACCCATCAAGCTGCTCGAACTCCTAAAAGTACCTCAAAGTCGGTCTTCCGTGTTTAACTTTAAAACTCCAGCTGTCACTCTGGATAAAGAGGGTGCTTTGGACAATACCGCCTGCAGGTCTTGAACTCAGACCCATCGGAACCGCAATGCATGTCTTTACGCAGTGCGCCAACCGAGCACTCACCCATCAAGCCGCTCGAACTCCTAAAAGTTCCTCAAAGTCGGTCTTCCGTGTTTAACTTTAAAACTCCAGCTGTCACTCTGGATAAAGAGGGTGCTTCAGACCATTCCGCCTGAAGGTCTTGAACTCAGACCCATCGAAACCGCAACGCATGTCTTTACGCAGTGCGCCAACCGAGCACTCACCCATCAAACCACTCGAACTCCTAAAAGTACCTCAAAGTCGATCTTCCGTGTTTAACTTCAAAACTCCAGCTGTCACTCTGGATAAAGAGGGTGCTTCCGTCCGTTCCGCACCCGGGTCTTGAAGTCAGACCCATCGGAACCGCAACACATGTCTTTACGCAGTGCGCCAACCGAGCACTCACACATAAAGCCGCTCGAACTCCTAAAAGTACCTCAAAGTCGGTCTTCCGTGTTTAACTTTAAAACTCCAGCTATCACTCTGGATAAAGAGGGTGCTTCAGACCATTCCGCCTGAAGGTCTTGAACTCAGACCCATCGGAACCACAACGCATGTCTTTACGCAGTGCGCCAACCGAGCACTCACCAATCAAACTGCTCGAACTCCTAAAAGTACCTCAAAGTCGGTCTTCCGTGTTTAACTTCAAAACTCCAGCTATCACTCTGGATAAAGAGGGTGCTTCGGACCATTCCGCCTGCAGGTCTTGAACTCAGACCCATCGGAACCGCAACGCATGTCTTTACGCAGTGCACCAACCGAGCACTCACCCATCAAGCCGCTCGAACTCCTAAAAGTACCTCAAAGTCGATCTTCCGTGTTTAACTTCAAAACTCCAGCTATCACTCTGGATAAAGAGGGTGCTTCGGACCGTTCCTCACCCGGGTCTTGAACTCGGACCCATCGGAACCGCAACGCATGTCTTTACGCAGTGCGCCAACCGAGCACTCACACATTAAGCCGCTCGAACTCCTAAAAGTACCTCAAAGTCGGTCTTCCGTGTTTAAATTTAAAACTCCAGCTGTCACTCTGGATAAAGAGGGTGATTCGGACCATTCCGCCTGTAGGTCTTGAACTCAGACCCATCAGAACCGCAACTCATGTCTTTACTCAGTGCGCCAACCGAGCACTCAACCATCAAGCCGCTCGAACTCCTAAAAGTACCTCAAAGTCGGTCTTCCGTGTTTAACTTTAGAAATCCAGCTGTCACTCTGGATAAAGAGGGTGCTTCGGACCATTCCGCCTGCAGGTCTTGAACTCAGGCCCATCGGAACCGCAACGCATGTCTTTACGCAGTGCGCCAACCGAGCACTCACCCATCAAGCCGCTCGAACTCCTAAAAGTACCTCAAAGTCGGTCTTCCGTGTTTAAATTTAAAACTCCAGCTGTCACTCTGGATAAAGAGGGTGATTCGGACCATTCCGCCTGTAGGTCTTGAACTCAGACCCATCAGAACCGCAACTCATGTCTTTACGCAGTGCGCCAACCGAGCACTCAACCATCAAGCCGCTCGAACTCCTAAAAGTACCTCAAAGTCGGTCTTCCGTGTTTAACTTTAGAAATCCAGCTGTCACTCTGGATAAAGAGGGTGCTTCGGACCATTCCGCCTGCAGGTCTTGAACTCAGGCCCATCGGAACCGCAACGCATGTCTTTACGCAGTGCGCCAACCGAGCACTCACCCATCAAGCAGCTCGAACTCCTAAAAGTACCTCAAAGTCGGTCTTCCGTGTTTAACTTTAAAACTCCAGTTATCACTCTGGATAAAGAGGGTGCTTCAGACCATTCCGCCTGAAGGTCTTGAACTCAGACCCATCGGAACCACAACGCATGTCTTTACGCAGTGCGCCAACCGAGCACTCACCAATCAAACTGCTCGAACTCCTAAAAGTACCTCAAAGTCGGTCTTCCGTGTTTAACTTCAAAACTCCAGCTATCACTCTGGATAAAGAGGGTGCTTCGGACCATTCCGCCTGCAGGTCTTGAACTCAGACCCATCGGAACCGCAACGCATGTCTTTACGCAGTGCACCAACCGAGCACTCACCCATCAAGCCGCTCGAACTCCTAAAAGTACCTCAAAGTCGATCTTCCGTGTTTAACTTCAAAACTCCAGCTAACACTCTGGATAAAGAGGGTGCTTCGGACCGTTCCTCACCCGGGTCTTGAACTCGGACCCATCGGAACCGCAACGCATGTCTTTACGCAGTGCGCCAACCGAGCACTCACCCATCAAGCCGCTCGAACTCCTAAAAGTACCTCAAAGTCGGTCTTCCGTGTTTAACTTCAAAACTCCAGCTATCACTCTGGATAAAGAGGGTGCTTCGGACCATTCCGCCTGAAGGTCTTGAACTCAGACCCATCGGAACCGCAACGCATGTCTTTACGCAGTGCACCAACCGAGCACTCACCCATCAAGCCGCTCGAACTCCTAAAAGTACCTCAAAGTCGATCTTCCATGTTTAACTTCAAAACTCCAGCTATCACTCTGGATAAAGAGGGTGCTTCGGACCGTTCCTCACCCGGGTCTTGAACTCGGACCCATCGGAACCGCAACGCATGTCTTTACGCAGTGCGCCAACCGAGCACTCACCCATCAAGCCGCTCGAACTCCTAAAAGTACCTCAAAGTCGGTCTTCCGTGTTTAACTTTAAAACTCCAGCTGTCACTCAGGATAAAGAGGGTGATTCGGACCATTCCGCCTGTAGGTCTTGAACTCAGACCCATCAGAACCGCAACTCATGTCTTTACGCAGTGCGCCAACCGAGCACTCACCCATCAAGCCGCTCGAACTCCTAAAAGTACCTCAAAGTCGGTCTTCCGTGTTTAAATTTAAAACTCCAGCTGTCACTCAGGATAAAGAGGGTGATTCGGACCATTCCGCCTGTAGGTCTTGAACTCAGACCCATCAGAACCGCAACTCATGTCTTTACGCAGTGCCCCAACCGAGCACTCAACCATCAAGCCGCTCGAACTCCTAAAAGTACCTGAAAGTCGGTCTTCCGTGTTTAAATTTAAAACTCCAGCTGTCACTCAGGATAAAGAG